TCAATACTATGGAATGCAGAATAGACAAAGTGGAAAAAAAATAGGGTCAAGGAAATTGAAGAGAAAGTTTCTTCCATCAAAGAACAAATCGAAGAGAGAGTTTCTTCCATTGCCAAACAAGTTGACATCTTATAGAAATTCATAGCAACAACAGGAAGCAATTTGGATGGTTTTAAATTTTTAGCCATGCCTTGTCGTCCCTCTCCAAAGGTACCCATCTGTGATGGGAAGAACTATTGGCAAGCGTACAACACTCAGCTTTCAGTAGTGGCGGATGCAAATGGATAGGATTTGCAATCCCATCCATCTCGCCACATCTCTGGGAGCAGCCGCAGCGGATATCCTTTAAATTCTTACCAAAAACCAGAGGCTAGACTTCAAAACTCTCTACAGTGCTTTGGGAGAAATGTGTAAAAGATTATACCAGTCTTCAATTAAAATCCTATTAACAGAAGCCCACAGAAACTCGAAGAACTTGGCACGGATGTTGAAAGGATGTCTCATCTCACCTTTTCGAAATGCCTGACAGAAACAAGGAAATCCTGTGCCTTCAGTACTACATCGAAGCCAATCTAAAGCTCAGTCCTGCTAAATGTGAACTATTCGGACAGGAACTGACTTACATTGACTTTGGACATGTTGCCTCTGCCGAAGATGTGAGTACAGATCCAGGAAAAGTGACAGCAGTCAAATATTGGAGATACCCTGAAAATGTCCATCTGCTGAGAAGTTTTCTAGGGCTTTTCGCCTACTTCAGGAGATTCGTGAAGGCATTTTCTTTTCTTCCGTGGCAAGACCCCTTCACAAGCTGACAAGGAGCAAGCAAAAGCTCTTGATTACAAAAGAATGTAAGGGTGCATTTAGCAAATTGAAGGAGGCTTTTAACATTTTCTCCAATCCTCGATGTATCCTCAGCTCAGTAAACCATTTATTCTTGACATGGATGCGAGCAATGGGAGTGTCGGTGCTGTTCTGTCCCAAAAAATAAACGGTCAAGAATGAGTTGTGGCCTACCGGAGCAAGTGTCTGTCTAAACTGGGAAGGAATTACTGTATCACGAGGAAAGAGTTGACTGCCAGAGTTAAACCCGTAGAACATTTCTAGCATTTTCTCTATATCAGAAAATTCCTACTCTGCACAGATCATGCATCATTGACCTGGTTTTTAAATTTTAAAAATACTGAAGGCCAAATAGCAAGGTGGGTACAGAGATCCCAGGAATATGACATCACTATCCGTCATCGGATGTGATCTTCACACGGAAACACTGACACCCTGTCTAGAAGACCTTGCTCAGAAAGCTGCCGATATTGTTCGAGGGCCGAAGTGAAATACGAAGAGGTCGAAGTGCTTAAACCGGGTGCATGACAAATTCCAACATCAACATTGGCTGATCGAGACCCATGGAGTGACAAAGAAGTCAGGAAAGACCAACTAGATGGCGATATTAAATCCGTAATTGACTTAATGGAGTCTTCAAACAGAAAACCTACCTGGCAGGGCATTTCGATCTTTAGACCTATGACAAAACAATATTGGGCTCTCTAGGGACTCACTCCACATTCAAAGCAGCCGTCTTATACTGGAAATTTGAATTGGATGACGGAAAGACTTCAAAGGTTCTGCATCCCGGACATTCATAAAGAAGTACATAGCAGCCCTATAGGAGGCCAATTTGAAATAATTAAGACATTGCAGTTATTTTGAGAGCCCTTTTACTGGAGTAATGCAAAGGATGGTGTGCAAAAGTGCTGCCAATCTTGCAATGCCTTTGTGGGTCGGAAAGGACCCCCCCAAAAAATACAGCCGATGATAGCTGCAACGTTACAATGTAGGAGCGCCTTTTCAACACATCACCTTTGACATTCTGGGACAGCTGTCCCAAACTGCTGATGGCAAGAAATACATCATCGTTATCAATAGTTACTTCACCAAGTGGCAGGATGCGTATCCTATTCCTGATCAAGAGGCTGTCATTGTAGTAGAGGTTATGATACAGCTTTGGATTTTCAGGTTCAGAGTGCCTCTTCAGTTACATTCCAATCTGCATGCTACTTGGCATCGACAAATCGAACGACACCGTTACATCAGCAGTCGGATGGTATGGTAGAAAGGTTTAATTGAACCATTCTAATTAACCTCTCGTTAGTAGTTTCCAGAAACCAAAAGGACTAGGACAAGAACTCACTACTGTTCTTACTGGCCTCTCGTAGTGCTGTCCATGAAACTACCAGATATTCCCCATCTCAGAAGCTCTTCGGCCGTGATCTTCGTCTGCCTTGTGATCTCTTGTCTGGTCGCCCTCTGGATGCACTTTTATCGCCTAAGGAGTACATCCAAGATCTCCAGGCATGGTTTGAGTTGGTGTTGCCAGAAAATGTTCAACTAAAATAGCAAAAGAAGACACAAAAAGTTGCAAAAATCACAAGTGACAACAGAGATCACATGATTTTTGTGACGTCATAGTTGTGAATGCTCACATGATCTCTGACGTCATCAAAAATTTACTGTCTGTCGGTTCTGTAAGTTACAGACTGTATTCAATTTTTAGTCTTTTTAATTACATATCTTAGCTTTGACGAAAATTTTAAAACTATATTGCTCATTTTTAATTGTTTAAATATCCATTTCTTTTTAAATTAATTCTCATTTAATTAAGGTTTCAATTTTTAAATTAATTTGCAGATATCAATTCTTAAGAGATTCCTCACGTTTAGACTCTTAGCTGTTTTGTATTAAATTTTTTGAGTTGGCAGTTAATTTTTTTTAATTCTTTTTTTGGGGGGGGCTTAATTGTGAACATTTTAATTGAGGAATGCTTTGCTGTGAGTTTTCCGTTCTGTGTGGTGGATCTGTTTCAGATTCTGATTACTTAAGGAAACCTTCTTCTTTCACTGTTAAATTAATTTTTGTTGTTATTTAGAAAAATGCCATTCCTTTGATTTTTAAGTCATTTCTATTACTTAGTTCTTAGCAAGGAAATCAGGAGTATGAATTTATTTCTCTGTTTGGGTACCCAATATATGCTGCGTAAGCTACAAGTTCTTTGGTTAAATTCGTTATCACCATAGAACTGGGGTTGGACTGACCTTAAAAACAAAAGGCACGGGGTACGAAGGAGAGTGGTGAGAGGTCTCGAAGCATTTTTTTTCTTTTTACTTTTTTTCACTTCCCTTACCCCTTTCTCGTTATACCGGCATCAGGCTGTGAAACCTTGAAAAGGAAAGCCCACATCTAAATAAGGTTGCCAGATGTAAATTTTTATTTAAAACTAAATAAACTATGTTTTAAATATAAATTATATTTAATTAATAAGTTATTTTAAAATAAAAGCATTTTATGATATATCAAAAAAATTTTTGAAGTTGAAAAAATAAACAAAAAATGATGGATGTCGCAAAAATTTCGCAAAATCGCAAATACTAAAATTTTAATAACACAAGTTTGTTAAAAGTCGTAAATTAGTGCAAAATCTCACGATCTGGCAACACTGGTTTGAATTGACACGTGATTTTGCATGAGAGCGAGTCAACTTGGTGACACAGAAGATGAAGCCCCGATATGACATGAGAGCTACAGGACATTGATTCATTGAACGAGACATTCATTGGTTGAGCCAGAGCATTCATTGGTTGAGCCAGAGCGACGCAGGATACTTATAGCAGAAGTAGGAATGACGTCATCTCACGGCAACCAATCAGCTATCGGCACGAATCGGCTATTCAGATGACGTAACATCACGTTTCGTTTTTGCATCTCAATTAGGTTGAAACAGTCCGTTCTCAATGCAAACAGTGGCAGCAAGAAAAAAGAAGTAGAAGTAACTACTATATTACATTAAAATAAGAACTAAACTAAATAAACATTTCAAGGAGGAGAGATGATGCAGTAAAAGGTTTACAATAAGCTATATTTTTCAACAGGTTTTTGGTGACTTATTTTTGTCGCTAACTTTCTGACATCGCTAAATTTGGCGAGAAATCGGTAAATGTCGCCTGACCTCGCAACATTTAGTCTAGTCCCTGTATAACCGTAATATGTATTGTAATTGAAAAATGTAATTTATCACTATATTAGCAGTAACCACAATTCGACCCTCATATTGCTTTCCAGGAATTTTCGAGAAGCAGAAAATACTAGAAGTATCTTGGTGGTCAGTTGAAAACTATATAAGGCAGGAAAGTGTTTCTGCTCTCGGTTAGTTATTGTTGTTGTGAGTTGTTAGTTCACCATAAACTGATATATCTTTGTTAGCTTTGCATTGTATATTCATAGTGGTTTGAAGGGAGACTACAGATTGTACTTAATGATACTGTGAACACCTGTACCAGGATTTCTATGGAAAATTACAAAACTCGGAAGTATTTCTTTTGAGAAAAACAAATTTTATTAACCTATTATCATCAAACCTCTGTGCATTAAATCTGTTAAGAATCCATACGCATACAACAGTATGACTCGCAAAGTAGTGTATGCTCACATATTTTCTAGTGTTCATATTATAAATAAAATGTGTTTTGTCAGCGACTAACTTAATATATGGAAAACTGAACAAGAGAAAAGTATATTTTTTAAATATGGCTAGAATTGAGGGAATTCTCTAAATCTTTGTAGGAAAATTGTTTTATACTGCAATTATTTAAACAATAATATAGCTTAAGAATTACATTTATTGAATTGGATAAAGCATCAGTTTTAGATTTGTAAATAGCAGCAGTTTGTTTACCAAACACAAATCCGTATGTGACATCAGTTTGCTGGTATGTCATAAGTAATAATATGCAGTTACTGCCCATTTCATAGGATTTACAGTTTGATAACTTTATTTCTAAGTGCACCTTGCAAATTCAATGAAATACTCATGAACTGTTTTCAGTAAAGCAGATAAATTATGGGGAGCAAAGCAACAAAAATTGAAAATGATTTACTTCATTAATATACATATGATTTTAATCTCACATTAATTTTTTGCATTTATTGATTTTGTTCCATATTTATAGCTACATTTTGCCTTCCAAGATCACAAGTACCTGTATATGGTTATGGATTATATGCCAGGTGGGGATCTAGTGAATCTTATGAGCAATTATGATGTGCCAGAAAAATGGGCTAGATTTTTCTGTGCCGAAGTGGTATTGGCTGTGGATGCCATTCATGCTATGGGATTTGTTCATAGGTAAGCATGTTAATACACTCATACTTCCACTGAGGCAGAAAAATTTCATGTTTTGCATTGTTATTTATGCAGTTTCTTTTAAACCTATTTTGAAGTTTCAAAGGTTAATGTTTCAGTTGTAGATATTGGGAATCTCATACTTTTTAAATATAATCAAATAAGAATAAAAGATATATGCTCTTGCTTGTAATCAGAGAATAAAATATCTTTACATTATTTAAGTCGTTGATAAAGTATGGCCAGTGTGTCAGCTGCCATAGGTGCAAATTAAAGGATGGGAGGTGCCAAATATGGAAAAAAAAAATCATCTAAATAATAAAGATTAAAACAAAATGTTAAAGGAGATACTATTTTACATTCTATTTGAACATTCATTGAAATCTTTTGTGTAAAAATTGTACCACCAAAAATAATGCAATGTACCATTAGTAGTAATATACCATAGTTTGAGAAATTCTGGTTTAGATTCTAATTTAGTATATTTATACTGCAGTAGATGTAATAAATTTTATTACATTGAGAAGATGTTCCATCTGGTGTGGTGGTTAGTGATCCTGACTGCTGCAGTGATGGGCCTGGTTTCAAATCCAGAAGAAAGCATGGTTGCAACTGTTTGCCCCTTCGTAGGAGGGAACAGTGGCCACTTAATGAAATAGCCACCACTTGTGGCCTTTGTAGTGGTGCAAGTCTAATGGCTATTAAATGAAGTGCCCGACCATTAAAAAAAGTATTAAGAAGGCAGTGTTTTCAGTGTATGATATATGGATTTATTTGTTCAAATTCAACACTTTTAGACTCGAATCATTCTCAACATTTGAATTAAATGGTTTATAACTGATTGTTTCATTTCTAGGGTAATTTCTCACTAAAGTCCTTGTCTTTATTTATTGTTTTCAGGATTTTAGCTTTACCTTATATAGCAACCATGTTAATATTTGCATATGATTTTGTCTTGAATCAATTTTTTAAATCTTTTTTTATTACCTATTTAATTTAAAATTATAAGTTATCTGTCCATGACGTTCCCCATGCATGCAGACCTAACGCTATATACACGAGTGCATAAAAAATAAGCAAGTTCAATCATGGAGGAAGATTCTTCCTGTTATAAAAATCAGAGATTCATCTAATTGTGAAGAAGGCAGTAACAAGTTGTGCTGGAAAAAAATGGAAATGCAAAATTGACCATTTAAATGTTCTCAAAAACAAGCAAAATTACTGTTTTGTTTAAATGCTTTGAAAAAATACCATGGAAATGGACCATTTAAATGTACTAAAAAAAGTAAAAATACTGAACTTTTAAAAAATTTAAACAAACACACAGTATGCCTGAAATTTGATAGTTTAGATTAATCGTGTTTTTCAGTTATCCATGACCCGCTTCCCTGTGCATTAACCTGGATAGTAGAGAGTACATTGCCATTAAATAAAAGTGATACCATATTTTTTTAAAATGTTGTATAATATCTTCTGTAGTGATAATGTGCTTCATTGTAAATAAGCTGTTTTGATATTAAATTGTATAATTTCTTCTGTAGTAATAATGTGCTTGTAAATAAGCTGTTTTAATATTGTAAAATTATATATTTACTGTACAAATATCAAGAAAATGCTCTGAATTATTTCTTAGATTTTAGAGAATATATTTAAATTTTTACAGAGATGTTAAACCAGATAATATGTTACTAGACAAACATGGTCATCTTAAACTGGCAGACTTTGGAACTTGCATGAGAATGGGCCCTGTAAGTATCATATTTAACTTAATGAGTTTATGTAACTAGAATTTAATATGCTGACGTTGATTATGAAAGTGATAGTTTTAAATCTTAACTAATTTGTGCATTTGTATTATTTAAAAATGTATGACTTATTTTATGTGTAAAAATATTTTTATTAAAGGATGGTTTAGTCCGTTCTGATACAGCTGTTGGAACACCTGATTATATATCACCTGAAGTTCTAAAATCTCAGGGTGGTGAGGGTCTGTACGGCCATGAGTGCGATTGGTGGTCAGTAGGTGTATTTTTGTACGAGATGCTTATAGGTATGTTATTTATTCAGGTATTATGCATTAGAACTAATATTTCTATATCAATGAAAAGTTTTGTTATCAGGCCAATTTATACACTGGAAAAGTTTTACTTTTTAAAGTTGCTGAGCTTATTAGCCTTAGTTTATTAAGGTACAGTGTCTGGAGACTGCAACAGATATAATTTAGAATGTGCTAAAAATTTCACTATGCCAATTATTGGTTAAAATAATTGCAAAATTTAAGTAGTGTTATATTTTAAAATAGGTAATAGAAAATAATGTTTGCATTTTATTGTAATTATTGAAGCAGCAAACACTTGCTTTAATTACATTATTTAAAATTGTGTTCACTGGATCTTTCTTTTTTTGTGATGTTCCCTTCTTCCCAATATTCCTTATACTGTTAGTGTCTTCTTTTATGATTATTACCATTTAAAATATTTACTGTTTTATGTAATGGAGAAGAAATATCATTTCTCATATTTATCATTTCTTACTATGCCCTCCCAGAATGTTTTGTACCAATATGCAAACATTAGAACGTGGTCTATAGATACATTTCTTTTAGATTGAAATTTTATTTAATCTAGGTATGTCTCTTTATTGAAATTTTATTTAATCTAGGTATGTCTCTTTATCGAAATTTTATTTAATTTAGGTATGTCTCTTTATTCAGTATAAATTTTGTGAACTTATACTGAATAAACACTTTTAATTTATTAAAAATTTACAACAGAAAAAAAAATGTGTAAAATGAAAGGCCTAAAATTTGTTTTATCATTGCACACTAAATGTCACTAGATAGAAATTCTGTTTTTGACTTTAATCACAAAAGTGTGATAGTAAAGTGTACTTATAAGTTCTGAATGTTCTTTAAATATTCATGTTCCCAAGTCTCTGGAAAATTAAGATTAAAACCTTGCATAGGGGTGGAAAAAATTGTAAGGAAGTTCCATAGTACAGTTAATTTAAGGATTTACACAGTTTGCTGTTTGCAAAACGGTGAACTAAGGGAAAATTTTCAATTTTTATTTTCTAAAGTCGTTAATTTGATTTTAATTTGCGATCGTTTAAAAAAACTCTGACTATATTTTATAGCAGACGTTATAAAAATTATATCCTGTATTAGTTGTCTTCTAATACCCATACTCTTCCAGTCATCCCCAGCCAATCACCCTCCTACTGTACATCTTATTCTTGGTGAGAAAAGTGCATTTTTTGCTTTTCGCAGGGGAATACATTGCTTTTACATATCTCAGTTTATAAAAAGCAGGTTGATTCAGTTCTCTGAGAATCCGCAAATTATATTTTGCAGGGTAGGACTGTATATGTTAGGTAAAAGCCATACATTCTCTTCGAGGTATAAAAATAATAAACATATCTTATGGAAAATCTGGCTATTCCTTTCCTTAGATGGAATCATCTAAGGAAAGGAATCAGGTGTATTAATGACAGAGTAACTTAACCTGTTAAACACTGGTAGTATGGAGCAAGTTTGTTTGTGAAGTCTGTAAGCTCTGAACTGTATGGGAGTCTCTCAGTGTATCATATAAAAGAAGTCCTTTACCCTTATGAGACATCCCTTCTGTTAGACAGAAACACTTGTTCCTTCTACCGTAGTTCACTTAATTGATCAGTACTTCCATATTGGTTAGGTGATTTAAATATGGCAAAACACACAAAAGCTATCTGACTAAGGAGTGAGATGCATTCGTGGAGAAATTTGTAAAGAAATTTGGCTTGTATTCACATTATACATGGGAAAAACCATGAAAACCAAGCATGAATCCAGCCTGTTCAAACAATGTCAAACTACCAGTATTCAGCAATTTTAACCATTCTGCTATGGTGGGACACTTTCATATTATATTTTCTAAGGGATTGTTAGCTTGTATTTATAATGTAAATTATAACTGTTTATAGTTCTGCTTTTTTTAATTAACCTTGAAAATGGCACTTATATTTTTAATTTATGGCCCTGAAAAGAGCCTGAGATATTCAGTCCCACTAAGAATAAGACCAATTGTGATTGCTAACACCTGCCAGTAGCTGAGTGGATAAGACTGCTAAATACTGGTACTTCAGCCTGGGTTCACAGCCCATTGTGTGGGCTGGCTACATAGGTATTTTTATTGTTCACCCATGTATATGAATTCAAGCCACTTTGCTACCCTGAGAAATTTTCAGGAAGGCATCCTTGCAAAGATAATGCTCATATGCTGTGCCGAAGTCAACAAAACAAACAAAATATTATTACATTTTATGTTTTAGCAATGAATTACAAATAATTTAAGCTTTTGAGATATAAACTATTATTCCTTTTTTGCTTGTAGCTCCTGATCAAGAAGTGAAATTGTATGCGACCTTCTTCACCTGAAGATTTCGCATCACTTATATTTAACTTAACATGATCTTGATTTAAAAATTTTTTAAAATTTGAATTTCTTTTAATTGTTATTTGTTATATAGTATTTGGTATTAAAAGATAGTCTATTAATAAACTGAAAGTGAAATCTAGTGTAGGGAAAAGTTTTTTTTTTTAATTTTTGGGGTTTGTGTGTAGGAAAAATATTTTCTCACTTTTGAATATATATCATAATCATTTGGCAAATTCAATTTTGAAAGCCTTTTCGCACTTAGTAAAAGTATTTTGCGAATTCTTCTTCTTTTTATAATATGTGTTTGATTTTCTGCTTAAATTCTTTTGCCTAAAATACTTTTTTTCTGTAGGTGACACTCCCTTCTATGCAGAATCTTTAGTTGGAACTTATGGCAAGATAATGGATCACAAAAATTCGTTGAGTTTTCCTGATGATGTTGAAATATCCCCTGAAGCAAAAAATCTTATTTGTTCCTTCCTTACAGAGAGAACACAGCGTCTGGGTCGAAATGGTGTAGAAGAAATCAAAAGACACCCATTTTTTGACAATGATCAGTGGACATTTGAAAATATTCGAGACTGTTAGTACCTTTATATCCGAGTTGAAGTTATAAATTTTTTTTTTTTGAAATCAAAGTTGCTGTTTGAATTATGTGTTTTGAGATTCCATAAAAATACTAGACATATGTTTTATATTCAAATTTGAATGTGGGTGAAACAGCAACTAACAGCTTTGTAGTTACTGTTTTCACCCAAATTTTGCATAATGGTATAGCGAATGTGAAATGCAGGTGTTTGCCTTTCAAAAATAAACAAGAATATAGAGATTAATGTTTTAAGTAATCTGTATTAAAATTTCTGTGATTCCTTGAGTTTACCAATGCCCATGTGAAATCCTAGCACTGCAAACTTCGTTCGAAAGCAGCTGACAGTGCTGCTTATATCAGTATCAGCAGTAATACTTTTTAACATTGTTTTTATATCGAAAATTAATTTATGAAATGTTTTTTAAGCAATGGAGATTGTTGTAATCAAAAATACCATATAAAAAGTTGTTTTAATTTAATGTAATTAATTACAGATTAATTTACAATTGATAGAAAGATCTTTATTAAAAAATAGTCAAAATGTAAAATATTTTGTAATTAGGCCTTCTGAATAAATATTGGCATATCCTGCAATTTTTCCAACTGGATACTTCAAATTCCATGGGATATGCTCATGAGTATTCACAAATCTATCTCTCGTATAGTATCCTAAACATTGAATTGATCCTAATTTTTCTGTAGCATGTATTTATGTTTCTCAAAACAAATTACACTATTAAAAATAATGAAAATTTTTTATGAAAATTTCAAACCTTCATATTAATCTGCACACTAAAAGAAAAAGTTACAGATGAAAAAAAATATTCGCATAAAATTCCAATGAAGCACAGGTGAAATAAATGAAAATCGAAAGGGAATAGGAATCTTATCTAATAAAAGCAGCTGATAGTAATATTATATAAAAAATAATAACCTACTGGAAAAATATTGAACATGGCTTAACAGTCAGCATTAGAAAGTGATGCAAGTCTGTAAATTTGTTCTTAAATTTCTTCAGAATTATCTATTAGAATTTGTTATTTGTGTGGGCTGTAGTTCGTTTAATTTGATTGTCCTGAAACCTCCCATTAATGGTGCCAAGTTTTGTTTTCATATAATTTTCACCATAATTTGGGAAACTTTCTGTAGTGTCTAGGATAAATGATTAAGGAATAAAGTCATGTGACCATCTATGTTGGCTTATTCTGAGGCCTATTTTCTATAGGTCTTAGACTATATCAATATATATCCATTAGTGTAACTCTTTAACAACTAACAAAACCAGATTATGAACTCTATATTAGTTTGCTATATTTGGATTTAAAAAAATTATGTTAGAACTGTGTGTTGTCATATGGTAGAATACAGTGATCTGTTTTTCTTGATAATTAGGTGTTCCACCAGTTGTCCCTGAACTTGCTAGTGATGATGATACAAGCAATTTTGATGAAATTGAGAAAGAAGATAACACTGAAGAAAATTTTCCTGCATCAAAAGCCTTTGCTGGAAATCATTTACCTTTTATTGGATTTACATATTCTAGTGATTATCAGTATGTGCAAAATTAATGAGTATTAAGTGAAAATTAATAACACTGCTTAATAATGTAGAGATTTATGGCACATTGAATACATATTTTAAAGAGTATTTTTTATGGAAATTACATCCTGATCTATTTGCATATGTGTATGTGTATATATGTATAGAGAGAGTCTGTTAATATTCATGGTGAAAATCTATGTTGTATTTTAGAGCTGTAATTTTTCTTAAAATTTAACGTAATTAACATAATAATTTTTTCCTCCCACAGGTTAATGTCTCGAGGGTTATGTGCTGATAATAAACGTGATGAAGTTAGTAAATATATCGTTAATTTATCTTTATTAGATTGTGAAAAATATGCTTGTAAATTTTTCTGAAAATTGAGAACTAATTCTTTACTTTTCGCTTTGTATATTTTTTGGAATGAATGCTATCTGCTGTGTTTTGCTCCTCAGACAGACAAGGTAATAAATCTATTAGTCTCTTTTCCTTTTATAAATTTGTTTTATAAATATGAGATAAAAATAATGCTATAGCATTTGGTTAGTTCAATATTTTGTTTGTAATTAGCATGCAGTTAATGTCACTAAGAGCTGGTATCATCTTGAGATGAGATTAATAAATATACAAGTTTCAAAATGGAAAAATATTTTATTACTAATATGTCTTTAAAGGAGCTGTAAGTATTTTAAAACCAGATTCTTATAAATTTAGGTCACAAACTTTTGTATGGTTGGCAAAGGGCAGTCATGGAAAAATTCTGTATTATTTGCTGTAATTGTTCTTTTTCCTAAGTCAAATTCATATAAACAAGACTTTCAAGATTTGAAAAACGCTTGTGCAGAAAATACATACTTGCATATATATCTCTAATCCTAAAATCAGTAATTTCAGTATACTTAAATAGCTTTTATCTGAATTGTATTTGGCAGAGGTAAATAAAAAATTTGAACCCGTTTGGAACATTTATTCATAAGAATGTAAGAACTGTTCAATTAATTTCTGAAGTACACTTCCTTTAATTAAAAAAAAAAAATGAAATATATGAGTTATTTACAGAACTGGAATACTCAAATGAAATAGCTTAAATATTGGGGTATTATCCAAGAATTTCTGATTGGTTTAGATGAAAGATCTGGCACTAGCTTCAGTTCAAGCAGAAATGATGAATCATTTGTGCTTGAATTTTAATTAATCATCTTTGAAGCATTTTGTTGATGGTGTAACATCCCAGAATCTGTGAGGATTGTATAGTTTATTTAAGCAAAGAAAGCCTGAACTAATAATATATTGTTAAAGAAGTGTTCTGATCTGAGTAAAGTGTTAAGAAAACATTTCAAGAAGCATTTTCAAAATAATTCCTTCATTAGCAGTGGAGGCATAATAACTACATCGTAGGATAGTTAAAGAGTATTGTGATGAATGCTATTGCTGAAGTGTAGCTGCAATAGGAGAAAAGAATATGAGTGAATTTATCTATGATATTAACTTCTTTAATAAAGTTTCAATCACATATGCCTTAAAAAAAGTGCTTTTGATTTCTGTTAAAAGGAGTGATAGAATATGATGGTATAAGCAAAGGTAGTTGTGAGGTCAAAAGAAGGGGGGAAAAAGCAATTTTTATCATATGCTTTTTATGTTCTGCAGTTGTATGCTGTACATGTTTGCACACAACATTTTTAAATGCATACGTAGTATATTTCAAGATATTTGTAGCATCTGTCATGGCATGGGCTTGTATGTCTGCAGAGGATCCAAGTAGGCTGTGTGTTATGTATGTATACAAGAATGAATCCTGAAATATATAAAGAAATTTTGGAGAACTGTTTACTGGTTTCATAAAATTGATGCATTGATATTTTGCTTTCCAAATTACATTTAGCATTATGTCACATTTAAAATCTTATACTAAGTAGTTTAAACAAAGGCAGTTGGACAAAAAATTCATCAAGAATAAAGAATCATTACTCATTAAGAATTTCTGAAGGAATTACAAAGAAAAAGGTTAACCCAAGACTTTCTCCACTTAGCTCAAAGGAGCATTATTTTTTAGTTTCAAAAGTATGCGAGAAGGTTTGGGTCGAAAAAGATTGTAAGGGAAGAGCAAGTAATAAGCCAAACATTTATCCAGTGTTATGTAAGCATTATGCAGTGTGATATAAGCATTTATGCAGTGTTATATATGCAAAGAACTAATACATCTTTGTTTAAATTATATGCTGCAAGTATATTAATAGAATTATAAAATTTTTAAGCAGCTCTAGTTTTGAGTTTCCTAAATGAGAGTTTTTATGTAATTTACCACACCATTTTGTTGTGTGTTTATTTAATTTATAGATAATGTAAACTTTGATGTAATAATTAGCAGTCTATTTCACATTGCCAACTAAATGAGAAATTAAAGATTATTGAAAGCATTTTCCTCGATTATTCTGTTGCTTTTGAAGGTATGCATAATTTAAAATTGAAAGTTGCAATTTCACCAACATTAGTCCTTTTATGCAAAGGCAAAAGGCTTTGAGTTTTGCATACCAGTTCCGTACCTCATCTCTAGCCTACTCAGCTATTTCCTACCTGATCTTTCAGCATTTTCTTTTCAATCGACATTTTTCATTGTTTGGTATGGTTTATTTGATTATGGCAAAGCACACAAAGGCTATCTTCTTAAGGGGAGGGATGTCCTTGTGTAGGACTTTCAAAGGGAAACCTGCTCGTATACATGTTGTACATGGGGAAACAACATAAATATTTCATTTAAGACTTCATAGGTTGCTGCACTCAAATCCCATAGTAATTTCAAGACATTTTCTGTATTTAGGGCTTTTCACAGGAACAGGTGATTAATTCAGAGTAGGGCCTCATTATACTGTACATTGGATCTTTATCAATTAGTTCACAGTTTCCACCATTCTCCTGCACCAGTCACCTTTTGCAGCATTGAGGAGTGTGGTGAGCATACTCAACTATCCTTCTCTAGATTAGATTGGAGGGTTTGCTGGTCTGATAATTTTTAAAATTATTCTTTAAAAATTTGGTACATTTATAGAATTATCAGGTTTTTAAGATATCACTGCAACATTTGATCTCCATCAATTTGTCTTTTACCTTTCATCTCTATCAGTCAGCTATCAGAGTACCCAGGAGGGTGATCGGCATAAACATCTACTCACCTATCTACATTTTCAGATCTGATAATACTACAGATTGTAACATAGACAGCTTATAATTTACAGGATTGTCTAGTTTTGCTGTTGGCAGTATAGTAGGTTTGTCCTTTCCCTTTTGAATGTATGACACTGTAGTGCAAAAATAATGGCAAACTGTTTTTGATCATAGTCAGAAAAGGAAATGGAACTGATATCAAACAACACTGAATAGAAGAGATTGTTATATGGAATTGTTTTGACAGGTAAAATAGATTAAAAGTTATTAGGACAAGTGTAATGGATTTAAAAGGAGTTATGGTCAAAGTGGAATAAATAATTCGTATCAAATGTCAGGATTTCTGTTAGAATGGGATTGAGAGACTTAAAAGCTGGCAGTTACAACCTGATTACGAAATGGCATTGTTATGCATTGTAGTGACTGACAACCTGATTATGAAATGGGAGTGCTATGCATTGTAGTGACTGCAGACTGTGTAGCTTGTTCCAAAGTGCAGGATTAATTGATTTTAAATACACTATTTTGCAAAAAAATCGAAGCACCAAGAAGGACTTTTGCGATTGTGACAAAATTTGGTATGCAAAAATATCTTGATCGAACATGCAAATGATCAAAGTTTCAAGGCAAATGAACAGAAATTGCGATCATAGCGCACACTTCTAGTGCGCAGTTCGCAAAGTATAAAACAAGTAACAGCGGCAGAAAATTTATCTTTTTTTTTTTTTTTTTGTTCCTGCCATAGTAATTCTGTAAAGAAGCAACTAAAGATGCCATTATGATGAACGTGGTCGCATTATAGGGTTGCGTGAAGCTGGGTGTTTATACCGAGCAATAGGTCGCCACCTGCAGTGTACAGACATTGCTGTGCAAAGATGTTGGCAGCAATGGTTTGTACAAGGAAATTGCCATCGAAATGAAGGCTCTGGAAGGCCAAGGAGCACAAATTTGAGGCAAGATAGGATGATTGTTCGCTAGGCCAGAGCCACCCCAATGGTATCATTGTTGACTATTCAATGCACTACAGCCACGTCTATACCTCCCATGGTACTATCCACCATCTCACGGCACTTGTCTGAAGCAGGGTTACACTCACAGAGGCCTTTAAGATATTTGCCTTTGAGCCCACAACATCGGTGGAGTCATCTGGAGTGGTGTTGCCGATCATCATGGCTGCCTTCAGATTGGCATTGTATAGTGGTCAGCGATGAATCCCGCTTCACTCTTGAAGCAGATGACCACTGTGTTTGTGTTTGGAGAGGACGGGGCTAGTGGTCCCAATCAGCCTTTGTTTTACAAAGGCATACTGCCATAACCCCTGGTGGGATGATGTGAGGTGCTATTTTTTATGACAGCAGGTCATCTTTAGTAACCCTCCGTATATTTTAACAGCTCAATGATATGTTGATACCATCCTGCAGCCGGTTGCATTACCGTTCATGGCACACCATCCTGGGGCCATTTTCCAAAAAGAGGCTACATACAGCTCTCATATCTCTGGACTATCTCCATGCTGTTGATACTCTTCCTTGGCCAGCAAGGTCACCAGACCTTTCACCGATCAAGCATGTCTGGGGCATAGCCAGATTCGGGCACAACAAAATATCACAGACCTGGAACAACAACTGATGACTACCTGGCAGAATGTGTCGCAGGATGACATTAGGAACCTCTACCACTCCTTGCCTCGACGAATTCAAGTATGCACTGCTGCCAGGGGTGGTTCGACCAACTACTAATTTGAACACTCAATGGGTGATTGTGAGCCATGAACAGGTACCATGACCTTGATTTTTAATCATTTTATTATCCGTATTTATGAGCTATACACATATTCCATTTCATCGAAAACAACCACTTCCTTCAAGGTGCTTTGATTTTTTTTTTTTGCAAATGAGTGTATCTAGTTTTCTCAGAGCGGTATTCGTCTACTCGCATTAGTTGATATATGTCTGGCCTCTTATTCGATGCTACCAAAACATGACATTTTGTGAGCTAGCTAAAGAATTTATAGTATGTCTAGGACATACAGGATCATCCTGGATAGTGTTAAGACTGCTACATGATACAGGATTATCCTGGATAGTGTTAAGACTGCCACATGAAGTGGGATTTATGTAAGATGTCCATTATGTTCTTTCCATGAAAATCTGCATGCATAGATGGAAGCTGTTATCATCAGTTTGTGACCAACACTAGACTTAACAACAGTAGTTAGACGTTCTCTTTAGTGATGTCACTCTGCAACAACTAATGCACTTTTAATCTTTCAGATGAAATTACATGATGTAAGCTGGCATAATTTAGAACAGATGCACACGTGTTAATATCATTTCTAGTTAGCGTTCACAGCAAAATCCTTGATCTTACATTCTCAGGTGCATGTTGCACTTAAATTTCTTCTAATGCAAAGCAGCGTTTGAGTGCATGCAACAGCTTTAGTGCAAGAATGCCTAGAAATTCAGGGTATTGTAGTAGTGAGATGACCAGCAAGGCCTTAATTTAAATCATTTCAGTTTCTCAAATAAATTCATGCTTGTGGCTGCTGTTACATGTATGAGACTTAACTGTGAAACTGTTAGTATGGATCAAGACAGTGTGAGGATTATGGTGCACCAGATTAACATCATCTTGGTATCCCCTCCCATGTGTCTGTAAATGTGGTTTGCATCACTGTGGATTTTCAGGAAGCCATTGCTCTTAGTGCTTTTGCATTTTAGCATATTATATACTGATGTCTCTTTGTTATTTTTGTCCTAAAGTCTTTTGCAGCTCATTTAAGTATTGCTGATGTTTCCAATTTTTGGTTTTTGTTACTTAAATTGTGCATCTCATTGTTGTTTTCTCTAAATTCTTCAACTGATTCATAGGTGAGTATTTCTTTTTCTTCAGACATTTTTATTAAATTTTTCTGCTGAAAGTTCATTTCTGGAAAAGATTTGTGGATAATTTTCTTTTCATAACTCTAGCAATGAACAAGGCATAAATTAATTTTTTTTTGCTAATAATATTGAATCTAATAGGTAATATCATCATCATTGTTGCACTTTTTATACATACTTTATTTTAGGCTAAAAATATTTTAGCCATTAAGGTAATTATTTTGTAACAGTTTTAAATTAGTTTTTTTCTAATAATAGAATTTTATGTAATTTCAAAAATAAGTAAACTACTTGTAGTTGAAATTTATATCATTACCTATGAGATAAAATATATATTGTTGATTATGCTTTAAAACTTTTCCTTATTTATTTTATAAAATCTTATTGACAGCATATTTTTAATAAGATTTTATAAAATAGATAATATAAATATTATTATTGTTTAGTGTGTTGATTCTCTGAAAAAAATAGAAAAATTGGAAGAAGAAGTGCACAAATTGAACAATATGAATGATGATTTGGAACGCAAATACAGGTATGAGGTTTGTGATCGGACATATTAAATTTTTATTTGTAGAAAGTTTCTTTAATCTTGTTTTTTGAAATTGAATATATGCTAGTGTTAAAAAATTAAGGATGAGGTGGAGAAATTAGCATAGAAGCAGAACAAGGCAACAGAATGGACCAAAAGACCAATCAGTAGATAGACTTGGGACTGATACTGTAGGGTATGTGCATATATGGCTCATGAACTTAGGAGAAGGGCTGTCATACACACATAATTTACATTCAGTAGTTCAGTGTAAGCTATTACACACTGTAAAGTGATTTCAGAAATGTTGAGTTTCTGCTACCATGTGATATGGCCTACAGGCAATCCAGGATATCATCAGAATGACTACTTGAGGCCCCACCATTGTGAAGTTGGAAGAAGTTTGAAATGTGTCAAGTGCAGTGGAGGAGATCAGAATGACTTACAGTTTCCGATTTGAATGTTTCACGGGCCTGGAGAGCATTTCAAATGGCAGGAACAGCTATTCAAGTGTTCAGGTGTAGTCGTCATGAATAACAATGGTAGCAGATTAGTGGTATAATGTCATGGCAAGAAGAGATAGGCAACAGACAGCAGGAAGTATCACAAGATACATACGATATCTCAGCATGATATCACATAGCGGGAGATATTGCAAGGCATATGCACAAAGCACATGACTACTGAACATTTGATATTACATTTTAATCTGGACAGAAGGCTACTCAAACATGGTCTATAAGCATGATGACCTGTGTGGTATGTGCCATTAATGCTGGTTTCTGTGGTGCCAGGAACATAAGAGCTGAATACAATAGTAGTTAGGAGTAGAGTGCTCCTTGTGGATGAGTGCCAGTTGAGTCTGATGAGCGATACTGGATGTGTACACATTTGGAAAGAGAAGGGAACATGCAATCACCTCTCCAACACCATCCAAATAGACCACTGGTGTCGCTGTTGTACAGAGGTTCTCTCGCTTTATATGTGTCTCTTTATAAATGTGCTGTAAGTTCAGACCCCCTCTTCATGGACAGCAGTGCTACATCTCATTGTACGGTAGCTGTCGCAATGCTCTTAGAGAGTGAAGCTACTCAATGAACAGACTGACCTGCTAGACCCCTGTACTTAAATGTCACAAAACACATGTTGGACCTTGAGATGTTCGACAGCACATGCCCAATTGCCAGCAGCAGTTCCACATCTGAAATTGGCACTACAGGAAGAATGTGTACGATACTTCAACAGCTCCCTGACAACCTTATTCCCAGAATCCACATATATTATAGCATTGTAGTCAAAGGGAATTATATCCCTTTCTAAAGACTGGATTTTTCTTGCCAGGCACCTGTTACCTGGACATTCTGTGAACATGGTCTTCTGTTCATTTGTGCTGAGAGCTGTCTTTTCAATAATTTCTTTTTTATCTTTTTTTTGCGCAATTTTGGTCACATGTCCCATATTTTCACATTTGGGGTTCTTATTGTATGATTTAGGTCAATGCAGATCACTTCTACATGACATTATGTTCAAACATTCATGTCATCCTTAAATTTTGCATGCTACTGTATGTGTGAATTATGCACTGAATTGAATATAATGATTTGGCATTTTTGAAATTATTGCACTAAGAGGAAAAGCGGTTTATATTTAAAATGCTTTCATGTTCATATTAACTCTATGTGCTAAAAGTGGTAAGAAAGATAATTAAATGTTCAAAATACCATATTTGAGCTGAAACAAAGTAAATATAATTTTGATAATGTGGTGTTAGGGAAAAATTAGTAAATTACTGTCATGTGTTTTTTTTAAATGGTAACTTGCTTATATAACAAACATGTATATACCCAGGTATACATGTAATACCACCCAAATTTATATTTTCTTAATTTTTGTTATGTCTGAAGTAATAATTATTCAATATGTGAAGGTAAGATAAAAAATTATGAGCAGTGCATTTAAAAGTTTGACTCGAATGAGCAGCATCAAATGTAATTTTAAGGACATATTTTGTAAACCCCCCTCCATGATGTACACTTAAAATCTGGTAATATTTGCATTTAAAATAGGATTTAAAGTATATTTTCTAAAACTTGTTTGAAACAGATGATTCATCTGACTATAAATATGATTCTTTTGATGTAATTTTTATTTTGGCTTCACTTTATCAGTTTTTAGGTGTGGAATATAATAATAGAGGATTTAGGTAGTGTTTTAAAAACACTCTGAACATGTCAAGTAAAGTTTTCGGAGAAGTATTTATAATAAAAATAATGCATATTTATAGTAGTTTGGTAATTCTCTCAATCACATTTTTGTCACTGGTTGTAAATTGAATGTTTATTTCAAATGACAGTAATTGAAACAGTGATAGTTTCAAATGACAGTTATGACAGTAAAACCTCTGACTTTAGCTGCTTTAACTAATGCAAAGTGCAAGGTACACAATTTTATGTTTTCCCTATTTTATTTTACCCATTCATGTTTGTAATTAATTTGCTTTTGAAACTAGTTGGAAAATGCTGTTAAATGAAACATTACTCTGCCTACATATCAGAATTAGCTTTAGAGTAATTTTATGCATCAAAACAAAATAATTCATACTAAATGCTTCATAATTCCACATTCTTTTCGTATAATTTATAATTGTGCTCTCAGATATTGCATCTGTTCTACATTTTTATATGCACAATTCAGGCATTGTTTTGTTCATTGATACAGAGAAAGTGAAAAGTAGAAGTTTTTTGATATTCTTTGACTTTCTCCCCCCTCATTTTGTAAGTATGCTTTGTGTTTTCCGAGTGCTGCCCCCCAAAAAAGAATTAAAAATAAAAATAAATAAATAAAAAATAAAATGAAAAATGAAAAATAGGGTTTAATATTCTTTGTCTTTTCCCCTTATTTTGTAATTATGAATTAAGTTTTCAGAGAAGTATGTTAAATTTTGTAAAGCCATTGGGATTGGAATAACTTTGTTTTATGTAGCACATTTATTTTAAAACTACTTTGTACTGAATACTATTTTGATAGCATTTGTTACTTGGCCATACTTTAAATCCAATCCAATCCATTGCATCTTCACTGTCAAGAGACTCATATTATGTAATGTTGGTAAAAATATTTTGTATTCCTTGCTCCCTCCAGATCTGAATACATTTAGTATCAAATATTAAATAAAAACTCAATTCACACTAAAGAGAAAACATGCTTGTTATAGATTATATTTCTGAAGTTTGCTGATCCAATTCAGGTCGATTCCCTTTCTTGTAAGGTCAGTTAAACATAAATTATTAGTTTTCCTGGAATTAAGACCTTTCTGTGTAGGACTTCTGTATACAATTTGCTGTGAAACAAATGTTTCAGTGGTGGCTGCAGGTTGTAAAGTGACCTGTCTAGCAGTTGGATAACTTTTTGAGAGGAAGCCTTGAGGAGAAATTAATCTTGTGAAGTTGTTATTTTTTTAAGACCTTGGCTTTTCTTCCGGGTAACAGTTTCAAACGTTTTGCTTTAAAGCAAATTTGTTTACTTGTACAGCTTTGCTCTAGCTGCTTAGTAACGGTTAAAAAAAATCTTAAAATATTTTTCAGGAAAGCAGAATTTGTCTGCCCTTAAGCATCTTTTCAGCTTCATGACTTTCTTCCATTGCTTGTAAATAGTTGCTGTTCTCTATTTCAGAGATTTTTCAAATGATATGTAAGTGTCATAAAAAACATTTTGGCCATATAAATACTAAAATTTAACTTTGGACTGTAGGAATTTGAGGAGAAGTATGCAATGTGCTTGCCACATCTTTGAATGGTGATGTACCATTATTTGCATTTCTGGAATAGATCAATCAAATTAGGAAATATTTTTAGATGTGCATTTTGCTTGTGATTTGAAAAAATAAATTAGATTGATAAAATTGAAGTATTTTAATACATCTTAAAAGTTTTGGACATGAGAGATCTTTATTTTGTATTGATTTCTTATTATAAATTTATTGATTTGCTAATTGGATAATAATTATTTCATAATATAATGGTATTAGAATGATTTTATGCAATCTCTCCCCCTCATATTTTTACAACTTTTAGGTTTGCTTTGAATCAACTTGAAAATTTTGTGAATCAACAGGAAACGATATCTGTGATACAAAGTGAAAATCGAGAAATGGAGAAAAGTATTGCTATGCTGAAGCATGATTTGAAAGAGGTGATAATGCGTTTGATGTCTTTCATAATCATAAATACTAAATTTAATATCCTTATTGCATTTTATGTTTGTATTCTTTCCAAAATGTAGTTATATATGTATATGTATTTTATTAAGGTTCAACGGAAGTACGACAATGAAATAGAAAGTCGTCGGAAAGCGGAAGCTAAAGTACAGGAGCTATTCAGAAATTTGGAGCATGAACAGAATTTACGGGCACAGTTATCATCGTCTAACCAACAGATAAATGAAAAAGCATCAAATATGGAAAAGCAATTAAGGGAACTGAACGAGAAAATTAAAGTTGAATCGGACAACAATATGAAATTTAAGAAAGTGAATGCTGAATTGTTGCTAGTAATTATTTTCCTTTTAAATCAGTTTTCATTTTTTAGCGTACTCAGAAATGATGTTTGAAGGAAAAACTAGAGCATAACTATCGTTATCCTAAGTGAATTTTTTTTGTGCATGTTTATGTAAGCAGTTGATAAATTAGTTACCAAGGATTGACAAAGTTCATCAGAAGCTTCATTCAAATGCAATTGAAAGTTGGCATTAAATATCTAATACACTATAATTTTGATGTATAAGTAAATATGTAATGTAAATATTATGTGTCTGGTTAAAATGCTATTAAAAGTTAGTGGTATCCAATACATTTCTAATTCTAATAAGAATATATTTAATTCAGTATGGGAATTTTTTAATTTTTTCCCTAAACTGTATTTTACGATTGCCTATGGGTATTTTAATTGTAGTTTTTTTCACTTAAATTTGCTCAAAAGTGGTGTTTCTGTAATATTATTTTTGCTGCAAGGTTTAAGTGACCTCTTTGTAAGGAAATTTGCAGTGTAATTTATATTAATTGTTTAAATCGCAGTCGGTCAGACAAAGAAACCTGTAAGACTGTTTCGTAATATATGAGGGCTAAGCTTAATGTTTTCAGAGTGAATATTTATAAGCATGCATACTGTTTGTTATATAGATGCATTTGAAATTTGATGGCTGTCCCCCCCCGCACTCTTACTGTGAAAAAATGCTGAAAATAAGACACGTGTAGGAAGAAAAATACATCCAGGCAAAATTATATTAATATCAAATAATTATATATGCATAGTGACCCAGTGAATCATTTATTTATCTGTTTCATTTGCTGTATTAGATTTTCTTGCTTTGTGTTTGCTCATTTGTTGTGTTATTTTATGGTAAAATGCATAGCAGAGTTATAAAGAAATGAAAAAAAAATTCTTCTAAAGATAAATGGAAAATAATGTGCTGAACCCTTATTAAAATAATAAAAGATAAGAGACATTTTAAATTAATGACATACACAACTAAACTACTTAATAAAACACACACACACATATATACAATGGAGTGAAAATACTCCTATCAAAAGGGCTAATTTAGCTAAAACTAGGAATTTCAATTTGAAGTCAACATCAGTTCCAATCAACAAAGCAGTATGAGTACTAATACCTGTTGAAACTATCATGTTCCATATTGTTTGAAGGACAATTTTGCCTTCCCAATTCCCTTCTGGTGTAAGTACATTTAGAATCAGATGTTAAACTAAACCTCGACTCATTAGTAAAGATAACATGGGGCCACTGGTGTTCACTTCAATTATTGTGTCTTTTGCACAAATCAAAGGGATACCTCTTTTGTTTTGAAGGCAGTGAAACACATACCCGTGGCTTTCTGACTTCTGGACCTTTTTCATTAAGTCTTCCGTATGTAGTTTGCCATGATAATGATGTTAATTCCAGTGGCTGCTTCAAGCTCTGAACTTAATTACTAAGCTATAGACTTCCTGATATGATGAGTAGTTAATATCAGATATCAATCTTGAGAAGCAGTTTTTATTCATTTATGACCTTGTCTAGGCCCCCCGTATACAGTTCCTGAGTTCTGAAATTGTTTCTATAGCATAGACACGGTCCTGTCATGAAATATTAACACATCAGACTGTTTCCATGATTTTTAGTCTTGCTTCTAAATGGCTGATGCCTACTTCACAGATTCTTCCGAATGATACTTTGGAAACATAGCAAACTGTTATGAGCCTTTAAACACTGAAGTCACATTCTGCATTGTAGAAATTCAGTCAGATATACCCTTTGTGCAAAGTGCATGATTCTCTCTCAGATATCATGTCTTTCGCACATTATGGGCAAAGATTGATTGCATTGATTGGTTGTTTCATGGAATATCATTATTTTTGGAAATGTAAAAATAAATTCAGACATGAGTGTAGATGTAAGTGGGTTTTGCATTCATTCAGTGTGTGCTTGATTTTGCTTTGGGATACTGTAGTTCATATGGCAATGACCAGAATTACCAGCTCATCCACATTATGAAGACTATGGTGAGCATTCACTCAACAATCATGTCTAAAAAATGTCTGTATGACAAGAGATGTAAAATTATATTGGGCCAAGGAATTACCTGTGCACTTCATAAAGAAGAAGCTTGTTAAAAACTTAATTTTTGTTTTGCTGAAAAGTTTGAATTTTATTTTGGCTATGTTGTCTTACCTGGAAATGCACACATTTTACGTTTTTTTTTTTTTTTTCCAGGGTAATGCCACTAAGGAGCAAACAATACAAGAATTAAATGATAAAATAGCACAGTTACAAAATTTAAATCTTGCTCAAGAGAGAGATATTCTCAATTTGCAAACTCAATTAGAACAAGGGCGTAATTCGTGGACACAAGCATCTGATAGGTCTCAAGAATTAGAAAGTATGTTTATTTCTTTTGTTTAAATTATGTAACATTGTATTGTAGGATTAAGAGAATGGCATGGAATTGAAAAATAGAAACCTTGCATTATGTAAATTTTACTATGAACTTCTTTTTGATTTAGGCATGGAGTACTCCATTTTATATAGTTGTTTAAATTGCACTTTTATCTCTTGTAATGGATATGTAATTTTATTTTGAATTAGATAAAAAGCACGCTTTGCAGTTAGACTTGGAAAGAATGAAAGAACGTGAAAATGCTCTAGTAGCAGAAAATCATGAACTCAATCACAAATTTGTGGAACTCGAAAAAGTAAATTATTCTTACGCTAAAATACCTTACTAATTAAAAATGATTTCTGAGAATTTAAAAAAGTTTATAATTAAATAAGTCCAACATATGTTATTTTAAATTCTTTTAGAATCATGCGATGTTAGTACTTGAATTAAAGAATCTGCAAAATAAGTTTAACCAGGAAGCAGCTGCACATCGCCAGGATATTGATACATTAACAGCTGATAAGAAAAGAATTTTGTCTTCAACTGAAGAAGCCAATCTGGAAGCATTGCAAGGTTAGATATTTAACTTGTTTTAATTTCCTATTGTTTACAACATTTTAAAATATGAATTTAAAGTATGTGTTTTGCATATTATTTTGTTTATATAAATGAACTTTTGAGAACATGTTTTTTCTAGCCCTTCAAGCAAAATTAAATGAAGAGAAATCATTAAGACATAAATCAGAGGCAATCATGCAAGAAAAGGAAAGACAGATATCCATGCTATCCGTTGATTATAGACAGCTACAGTTGCAGTTACAAAAGTTGGAGGGAGAATTGAGGCAGGAAGTTGAAAAGGTGAGGTTTTCGTTTTTTGTTTAGTTATAGAATATATCAGTGGTTTGAATCTATGTTCCGTGTGCACTTCCCTGGGGCTGCTCTGCTGATTCAGGAAAATAAATATAGGCATAATAAAATTAAATATAAGTATAAAGTTAAAATCAAAATAGCATATTTAGAAATTACATTCTGAAATGTGAAATTTACAGAGTTCATTTTGTGTCTGCTCTAGTAGAAAATGCCTACCATTCTTCGGAATTGCACATTCAAAAAACTTATGGTACATTTAAGATCCTTTGAGAATTCCTGGAATCTGCTTGAAACTTAGCTTCATATAAATACTGTAATATTATTATTACTGTATATATTCATAGTGATAATATTGTGCTTTCTTAGTAATTCATACACAAGTTTTCAGCGTGCTTGACTTCTGTGTGTAGTTTTATTATGTAGTAAGTGTATATTAATGAAGAAAAAAATAATAAAATTCATAAAATCATGACCTCTTAAAAGCAGAATTGATGTTTAGTAGACAGATTTGAGGTTAAGTATATGCTGGTATTGAAATTTATACAAAAAACAATTGCAAGTTACTTTGAGCAGTGTAATTTTATGCTCTTCTAATATACCAGTGGGTATAACAATGCAAGAGGAAATTGATGATTGTTTATTTTGACACAATTGTTCCTACATTTCAAAAAAATTAGAATGCCAAAGATAAGCTATTAAAATATGAGCTTGTGGAATTTGTCGGCAGTGGAAGAAACTGGTAAAATTTCTGCAAGATTATAGAGTTTTGCTTGAAGGTTTTTAAAGGGAACAACGAGGAAATGCGTTTTCTTGACAGCCACTGTTCCCAAGGATTGTATAAAGCCGAGTCTCCGCAATTGTGTGTTTCTTTTTTCTTTCTTTACAAAAAAATTTCAGAAAGATTTGAAGAATGTAGTAATTTAATTTTTTTAATGTGTCATGTAATCCTTATTTCATAATTCAAATTAGTAGTTTAAATTGCTAAAGCATGTTTTCTTGTCATATGTTGATAATGTTTACTGACTAAGATATTGGGAGTTTGAGAACGTTAAAAAAAAAGGGAACGTTAAAAAAAAAAAAGGGCACGAAAACCACCAGCTTGGCTACTGATGAGTAACTTTTACTTTTTCACCTGTAAAAAGTCACCAAATGGCACTAAGATGGTTCTATTAATATGTAACTACTGAGTTATTCACAAATTTTAAATACTCAGAGGAGATAGTTCAAAATAGGATAATACTGCAGAATTTCTTATTTTTGTTTCATAAAGGACAACATAAAGTTAATGTATATTTTAGTAACAGCAAACCTGGCAAATCATATGTGCTTGTTTTTCAATTAACCACTTGCTAAATATAGGATCAGTATGTCACTTGTTTGGATTTTAAGAAGTTTTATTAATGAATATGCACAAAGAAAGCAAAATACAACATTTTACTGTTAAGGAATTAACATTTCAAGCAAATATGGATTGAATACTAAGATAGTATTTTGATGATTTCAGTTTTCAAAGTAATCACTCCATGATAGGCTAAAGGCTAATGATTGAGTGAAGAGAGAGATTGAAGAATATTAAAAAATGCACAAGTGGGAGCTATATTCTTTGGGTATCAAAATAACAAGATATGAATTTAGGTAAATGTGTAATTTTTAAAAAATTCAGACTTTATATGACATCTGTTTAAGAAGCCATTTATAATTTCCAAGAGTACAAAGGGGCAAGCAAAGGCTCTTTGGAAGTTCAGAAGACAGGAAAAAGATATTTTGAATTGTAACATTGTATTTTAATTCTCTGGTAGCTGCAGAAGGGCGATTATTTTGCAAATCGTGTAAGAACCATTATTGAAATTTGCTGCTGTAGACAGGCTATGTACTATGCGCAGAGAAATGAAATCTGAAGTGGAGTAGTAAATTAGTATTAGTATGATCAGGAAATCGTGAATTTCTTTGTTTTCAGCAAAATTCATCTCTTTTGCTGCTACACATGTGGAGTCCACTGTGAGAATGTCTCAAACAAAAGTAAAATACAGTCGAAACCCCATGTTACAAACTTTAAGCGACCAAAAGGTTATTTTGCGTATTAAGTGGTTTGCTGTATCTGATTTGATAAGGGGGGGATAGGCTCGTCTTTTAAAATAGTGCAAAAATTGATTGAGGAATGGGGGTTGGGATTCTGATTAGTACTCTCACATCTCCCAAAGGAAGTGAATTTAGAAGAAAAATCATATCAAGTGTTAATTATTATTATTATTACTAAATTTTGGGATTACTAAATTTACTTTCCAGTTTTGCATGTTAATAATTTTGTGTAATAAACTAGCATAAAAATCCCGATTTAGGTCATCCTTCCAATAACAAAATCTTAATCTAATATTTATATATTTATGATTGGTGTTAGTCAGGTAATGGTAGATTGCAGCTTCTTTGAATGGTAAGCTATTTCAACAGTACTTCTTCAATAAATGTGTGCATTACCTTTTTTAATCCCCTGAAGACCAGCACACAGAGAACGAAGCATAATCACGTGACCACAAACCCCCAGAAAAAGAATGTCACCATTGGTTCATGCATTTTCAGTAGTGAAGTCTAATTTTAGTAAAACAATTCATATAAAACCAACATTAATGTAATGACCTCAATTTTTGGAGTTATGTATTTAATATGCTAATTCTCTATATGTATTAATATAAAAAATATCACATTAATAGAAAAAAAGGAAACGTGATATACTAAAATTATAACTATAGACATGAAAAACAAAATTACAAATAAGAAATTTAGAAGGCAATTAAACAAGAATTATCTGTAGATAATAAAATTCCACTTTAAAAATTCTGTGTGTGTAGAATTATTCAAAATCAGGATCGACGCAAAGGACACGGATGCCTTTTTTCTGAGAAATGCCGAGCAAGTAAGATGAATCACACATCGAGAAAGCTGATGACATTCCCCTTCTGTGATAATGCTCTAGTGTTACTTTTTAATTAACCAGGAAAGCCTCTATTATTTTTTAAATAAATATAAATAAGGGCAGTGGTTTAAGAAGCATAAGGATGAATTTGAATTAACCTCCTGGCCACCTAAGTCGCTGGATCATTTGGGATGTCATGGAGCAGCAGCTCAGAGCTCCAACACCACCATGTTTAAATATGTTGACTTTGCATGACCGCTGCTTAGACACTTGGTACAACATGTCTTAAGTTATCTGCCAAGAACTTGTAGCATCCATGCCAAGGTGAGTTGTAGCTGTTGTGCAGGCCAAAGGTTGTGCAGTACGTTATTGAGTAGCTGGTCATAATGTCTTGATTCTTTGGTTTATAAATTTCATAGTGTATCTAAGTTTAACTTGAAAATGCTAGAAACATTAGCCTGGCAGTTGTGCAAAATCATGACATGTAGCTTACTGTATATTAAAATTTAGTGCATAGTAAATTTTAGAATATCTTAATTATTTATTTATCCATTTATATTTTGCAAATGACCTCTTTTGTATCAAAATTTATATTTTATAATTTGAAATTCTCTCTTGTATATTTGCGATTAATTTAATCTTTTTCTGTAATGTAGGCCAAGGCATTATCTGTTCAAGTGGAGGAAGAAGCATTCAAGCGTAATAATTTGCAATCAGAAATCTCCATGCATTTGTCAGAAATTAATAAGCTGAAATCAAAAGAAAAGCAACTTTCTAAGGAAGGACTCGAGCTAAGGGAAGCCAAGAAATGTTTAGAGGAAGAGTTGTATAAATTACGAACGTATGTTTTTTTCCCATTTTATTTTTTTAATTTTTTGTTTCTTAAAATATAAATTACGTATATGTATGCGAAGTGGAAAAATAAGGGAGGTTTCTTTATCTTATGATTTCTCTGTCTGGTTGACAAAAATCAGATTGCATTTTGGATGTCTCAGATTTAGAAAATAATGAATTGATATTTGTTTGTAGAAGTTCTACCAGTAAAATACTGGTTCAGTAATCTTCATTCTAAAATAACTTAGTTTTGGTTCATTTGTTAAGCTCTGCTATCAGCTTTTAAAGCCAATATAAATGGATTTTAAAATTTTGTAAAATAGCGGCAGATGTACTAAATAATTAATGAACTGGCATCTAATGAAATAATACTTTTGCATGCATACATGCATTATTAATTTATTTTCATTATAATCTAATATGTAATTGCTGTTACATAGAATTCTTGACACAAGATTGAATCTTTTTTGGAATTGCATTCCATTCTATGTCTCAGGTTATGCCTAATTAATAGATTTTGTAAAATTTGCATGAGCAGCATCTTAAAAATAGTATAAAGCTTGTGTCTCCTTAGAAACATAAACTTTTAAAGGTGTTTGAGGAATTAACTTCAGGCCTTAGGCTGTATAAGACCCTTTATTCAATCATAAAATTAACAAATGATCCAACTTGGGTTACAAGAAGCCAACACTTCTGGCTTAATGGAAATGCATAATAAATAGCAATTTCGAGGTGTGTAGGTTAGTCTAACAGCTCACAGAATACTATAACACACAGTAAGAGCTCTCACCTAAAGTAATGGGCAAGATAAGCCTAAAGGCAAGAACACATCAATGCCACTAACGTAAGTCTCAGGTATAGGCTACGCAGACATGCTCTGAAAACTAACTTCCGAAACTGTTGCTTGAATAGTACTTCATTCTACCTTAATCGGAATAAACTCTCGCTATCTCATTTACATTCTGGCATGAAAAGCGTGGGTGAAAAGGAAGTAAATAGGAAAGGGTTTGCAACTTAAAATGAACTACAGTCATAAGTCGTTAATTCGGACACACATAATCCGGAATGATCTATAATCCGGACCTCAAAGCTAAAAACTTTCTGCGCATGCGCCATGTTTACACATGCGCATAGGCGTTTACGCATGCGCGTAAGACCTGTACGACTGCACATATGCGTGTGCGCAAGTGCAGAATACGTTTTCGCGTGCACGTTTTATGTACAACGGACGGTATAAGCTAAAATTTTCTAATTATCTATTTCAGTTAATGTTGACGATTGCGTTGTTCCTTAATCTTTGAATTGGATCCAGTTTATTATTTTTTGCAGACTGTAAGAGCAATTTTATAAAAGTAAACTTGAACTTTCGATTATGTCAAATAGAATTTCTGATGTTGGAGCTCCCAAAGGATCTACAAAACGAAAGTATGTTTCAATGTCCATCAAACAAAAAGTGGAATTGCTGCAAAAAATGGATAAAGACATGAAGAAGGTGACAGAGAGGTTAGTGAAAACGAAAAAATTTCGGTTGACAAGTTAGTCGGTATTCTCGGCACAGCAATTACGGGACTTGAACAGTGGAACTTTGTAACTGAACAAGAAATTATGTCTGTGTATAGAATTAAAGAGAAAGTATTATCACATAAAACGAAACAACTTAAACAACTCATATTGAAAGAAATGTTTAATAAAGTAAACAAATAAATATTAAGCTTTTTTTTTTGTAAATTTTGATACCCTTTAGATCATAATTGTTCTTTATTTCATGAATTACGGTTTCATATTTTTAATTTTAGAATTTCTGCATGCCATCTTACAAGATTTAAACTGATGATCTATAATCCGGAAAAATCGATAATCCGGAATCGCCGAGGTCCCGACGAGTCCGGATCAACGACTTTTGACTGTATTAGTTAAAAATAAATAAACCTCACATTAAAAATTTTAGCACTGTAATGCTAATGGGATTTAGCATTTATTTGTCATATTTTTTATAATTTAATTTCCCTGATTTCCTTTTTAGTACTCTGCAGTGTTGATTTAATCCAAAGTTCTGGCTTTTCTGATTAATTATGAAGAAAATATATATATCACTATTTTATAAAATTTTCAGTTTTTTTTTCTATGTGTAACCTACAAAAGTTTGCATACCTTCTTAATAGTAACAACTATTTTAGGTGTATGTCCAAAGTATTAGGTTTTCATTGAAAAGTTTTGGAGAATTATATTTTAAGAGTTAGAAATCTTTGAGGAGAAATTGCAATTCATTTTATTATAAGTGATGATTTAAACGTTAGAAATCCTTACTGAGGAATTCAAATGTAGCCTTTTTTTAAAAGGAATGGTAATGATAAATGTAGAAATTGTGTTGTCTGCTTCCTGTTTAATGCACCAACATTATTTCCGCTTTATTAAATTTAATTTCTGAACAAAATTTAATAGTCTGACTTATTGACTGATAATACATTAAATACAAAGGTCTTGAAACTAACAGGATCTGCAGATTTAGAATTGTGTTAAATTCTCTCACAATTTTCTACTGTCATATAAAAATTGCTTTATGTTCCAATGCATAATTCACCTTTTGCTACTGTTTTAAAGATTTTTGTTCAGTTAGTCCAGTTCAGTGTTTGGGATTTGTAAATAAAATTATAATATTTGCAAATCCTTTTAAATTACCCAGTCACTAATATTCAGAAATGACTTCAAATTGTATTTTATGATAAATTTTAACATTTTCACTGAAGATAAATGAACACAAAAAATTGCACATCTGACTTCATATGTGAAATACATTCTATAACATAGAAAGTAATGCACCAAGGAGAAGTTATCTCAATGGGACAAAATGATATATGACAGAATATGCAAAAGTTTAACTTTTGGTAGCCAGTGACTGACTAGCTGGAGGTCCAGCACATTGCAGTAGAGCATCAGGATGGTGTATAGAACAGGATATTATAATGCTAAGGCATACCTTCCATGCAAATGTGGTAAGCCACATGTATTGTATCAGTATCTTGCAGATTGTTGGTGAACAGTGTGAGCAGATGTCACGACTTAAGAGAAGAAGTGCAGTTGAAAAGCAGGGTGGTTAATCGCAGGATTGCGAGACATTTTAGTCAAAGTGATGCTAATATTCATCTGTGTTGGCAGCAATGGGTGAACTATGATTGAACAAAGCATCAAGGAGGTAATGGTCGGCCAAGGGCAATGACAGAACATGAGGATAGAATGATCGTCCAATCAGCATTCACAACCTCTGATGTGTTGTTACCAACATTCTGCTGTAATGAGGACAGAAATGATAGGCAATTCTGAAAAAAGGAGTTGAGGTCACAGAGGCCATTGTGCTGACTGTGCCTCACTGTTCCACACCGCCAAGCATGTTTACAGTGATGCTAGGTTCATTTAATCTGGAACCTCACGAACTGGAGTAGAACTGATTTCCGTGATGAGTCTCACTTCAAACTAAGCCCTGATGATTAGCGAAGATGTGTCTGGAGACATTCAGAACAGCAGTAGGATTACTGTTGTCTCCCACACAGCCTGACAACTAGGAGTTATTACAGGGGGGTATCATTTTATTTGATAACTGAGCTACTTTATTAAATTTACATCATGGTGGTGTATGTGAGCAAGATCGTACATTCTGTAGCGTTTCTCTTTCTTTCGTATGCTCTTAAGCTTACGTTTCAACAAGCTAATGCTTGGCCGTGCAGAGCATGCTATTCTACTGCTTGCCTTTGTACTTCTCCAACATTTTCCTGACTTGAACAATCACTAGATATCTCCTCAATAGAGCATGTTGGGCTCAGATGAGCATCTCCAACTGTCCCTGAATTGTGCTGATCAAACCTGCCCATTGGAATGTGTATGGAATCAATCTTGCAGGAAAACATCTGTCAACTCTACAAGCCAGCTAACTTACTGATTATTTTTTTTAATAGCTTTATTTCCGGAATAAAACAACAAAACATTCAATTCCTTTGATACTGGTAATATTTAATTTTCAATACATGTACATCACATCTACCAGCTTTCATCCATACTTGGATATCTCTTTCTTGGTGTCCTCTTCCTCTACCTGCTTTTTATGTTATAGAATAAATTCATTAAGGAAAATATAATGCTACAATTCTTGGGGGCCCTTCCTGCACCAGTTAAAAATTAAATTTACATCAATTTTTATATCAATTATAAAGGAAAAAACTGTACTAAATATTAAAGAATTAATAAATTATCTTTTATTTTGAATTTTGGTATGTTTTTTAGTATGACCACTACATAGGATTCTAAATGACTTAAATCATTTAAGTAATTGTTTAGAAAATACAATTATCAGTCATATTAGTGCAGTTAGTAACATTTTGAATATGTGTTACCGTTTCCATTTATCTATAAAATACTGTCAGTGCAAATTAAGACCCAAAACACCAAATATGCATGATTTCAATGATAAATGGTATTTCATTTATTATCATTTTAAAAAATTTGCATTGCTCATATGAATAAGAAAATTAATGATTAAAGAAGTTATAACTTATTATATTATTATATAATTATATATATGTCTGTGTGTGTGATGATTTAATGCGTAGAAGGAATCAGCTTGCAGTCGTCGTGGCTGGGAAGTTGAATGTGCATAGATGAAGATGATGACAAATCACCAATCTTTATTTTCAAGCATATCAAGTCATTTTTTAGTAGATATGATATTTCTAGATCATAAGCAATTACAGTATTTTTATATGCATGTTATATCATCTTAGAATAAAAACAAAGGAGGGCATAGCAGCATAGATATGTGTGCAGGGCGGAAGCCAGGGAAAGAAATGACGTAATTAACTCACCAGTGGTATTTATACCAAAGTAGATGCAGTTGTAGAGACAAGCTATGATTGGTTAATTTTAGGTTGTTATATAACATAGAAGTATGTCGAATTTGGGAGAACAGATGAATTGAGGAGAAGAGCACCAAATCTAGAATGTGAATTTTGAGATTGCCAATTATTCTTAAAGCAGCTATCATATTTTGTTATATCTTACATATGTAATATGTATATGAAAAAGATCATGAATCATGAAGGGGCATAGGAAAACCTGTTGGCTATGTCCTTGCTGGATCCTTATGTCTTTAATCATATGATAAACTCTGCCTTGCTTCGCTGATGTATTAATGCTTCTTCTGCCACCCTGCTTTCCCAACCTTTCTTTTGAAGAGGGGGATATGTAAGATATAATAAAATACAATAGCTGCTTTAAGAATAATTGGCGATCTCAAAATTAACATTGTAGATTTGGTGCTTTGCAACTAAATTCATCTGTTCTCCCAAATTCGAAATCCTTCTAGGTTATACGAGGCGTATTCGGAAACTAAGTACCATTTTGAAGAAAAAAAAAATAGTAAAACAATTTTTTCGAATCCAATTTTATTTTTACATGAAAATACATGTCTTAAACTATTTTTCAACATAGTTTCTGCCAATGATCAAACACTTGTCATAGCGGGTGACCAGTTTTTGTATACCATCGTCAAAGAAACTTCCCGCCAGTTTCGATAACCACGACTCCACAGCATTTTTCGTGTCATTGTCAGATCCAAAGCGCTTGCCACCAAGCTCGTGCTTCATGTGCAGGAACAAGTGACAGTTGGACGGCACCAAGTCCGGGCTGTATGGCGGGGGATCGAACTGCTCCCAATGAAACTGTCGAATTAACGATTGAGTGACACCAGCAGTATGGGGCCGAGCATTGTCATGGAGCAACACAATTCCTTTACTGAGCATTCCTCTTCGTTTGTTTTGAATGGCATGCCTTAGTTTTGTTAAAGTCTCACAATATTGTGCCGCATTAATGGTTTCACCTCTGGGGAGAAATTCAGTAAGCAAAACGCCTTTCCTATCCCAGAAGACAGTGCACATGATTTTTTGTGATGACATTGTCACTGAACTTTTGTTTTTTCGGAGAATGAGTGTGTCTCCACTCCATCGATTGTTGTTTCGATTCTGGTGTGAAATGACACACCCAAGTTTCATCACCTATCACAATTTGGTTTAAAAAGTTTTCTCCTTCATCACTGTACCGCGTGAGAAATGTCGGGGCACTACCAAATCGCTTTGTTTTGTGAACATCAGTGAGCATTTTTGGAACCCATCGGGAACACAGTTTGTAATAATTCAAGCGGTCAGACACAATTTCGAACAAAACAGTACATGAAATTTGTGGAAATGCCTCAGAAAGAGTTGTCATTGTGAAGCGTCTGTTCTCATGAATTGCTTCATCAACTTTCCTTACCAAATCATCGGTGACAACAGAAGGCCGACCACTCCGAGCCTCGGCGTGGACATTTGTTCGACCTGCATTAAACATTCTTACCCACTTTCTCACCATTCCATCACTTATCGCGTATTCACCGTAAACTTCTGTCACTTGACGATAAATTTCGGCCGGTTTAACATTCCTCGCATTAAAAAATTTAATCACGGCACGAATCTCACAGTCAGCGGGAGAACTAATTGTCTTAAACATTTTGAATGTGCACAGCAAACTGAAAACACAACATAGAGCAACCAAAATGGCGATAATTGAAAGTCAGTAAACAAGAAAGACTAGTGCGCATGTGTGGGACGCCTATCACAGCGCTGCGACGGCGCTAGAATGAAACGGTACGTAGTTTCCGAATACGCTACGTATAACAACCTAAAATTAACAAGTCATAGCTTGTCTCTACAATTGCATCTACTTTAGTATAAATACTGCTGGTGAGTTAATTACGTCATTCCTTTACGTCATTCCTTTCCCTAGCTTCCGCCTTGCAAACATCTCTATGATGCTATTTCCTCCTTTGTTCTTATTCTAAGCTGATATAACATGCATATAAAAAATATTGTAATTTCTTATGCTCTAGAAATATCTTATTTGCTAAGAAATTTTTGATATGCTTGAAAATAAACATTGGTGATTTGTCAAAATCCAGTTTTTTCATCTTTGTCTATACCCATTCAACCTCCCGACCATGACACCTTCAAGCTGATTCCTCTTATGCATTAAATCATCATCATCATCATATATATAAGATAAAAAAGAAATACGTAATTTTAGGTTATACGTTAAATTAGCTCTTAATTCCTTTTTTTTTTAAAAAAAATTTTAAATACATCATATTTGGAAATTAATTCTGTAACCTCTGCATCATGCATAATTCCTTGGCCAATCAGATTAAAGCAAAACTTCTAATATAAATAGCTACTAACTGCGTAGTCTCTCTTTTTTTCGTAATTTTGCCTTCCTGCTAAGAACGTGTCGCTTAGCCTCTGCTAGTTATTCTCCATTATTTGAAATGCAATAGCATATCTAAAATTGTGGGATGAAGCTATGTGTTAAGAAATTTGTTTTCCAAAAATAAATGATATTTTAACTATCAAGTTGATCATACTTTTTCCAAAATTCCATCCAATCATCTATGTAGCAGTTTTTAGGCCATGACTAAAAAGTGAATTTTTTTTAATCTTCAGCCAAAATTACATTATTACATATATGTATATAATATACACTTCTTGGCCAAGTCAGACAGCCAAGTGCTAGGCGTTTGACCTGTTTCAAAACTTGGTATATGAGCTGATTGCAGACTATTTCCTGTTTTCTCCATATGTGATATCACTTTCGACAAGGCCTTCCCCCCAAAAAAGTCCTATATTCATTCATTAATTGCAGAATTTTGAAATCCTCTTGTTTGCATTGGGATGAAAAATAAAATCTAATGGTAAAATCTTGCTGCAACATATTGATCAGAAGCCTTCCTTTGTATATGTCTGTTAATTTTAAGTTAAAGTTAATATGCACTCATTTCCAAATTTAGCTCTACAAAATATTTATATTTCTTGAAATGTCCATTTATATCCATCCACATGATCCATTTTTGCAAGGAATTCCAAAAGACCAGCATAATTAACATTATTCAATCAAAAGCAATCAGTATTTGATATGCAAATCAAGTCATCTGGCAGTGATTTGAGCACTTTGTGCAAATTGAATTTCTGCAATACAGCGTTTGATTTCAGTGTGTAAAGACTTGAAATAGTTTGTTATGACTCTGAAGTAATATTTAGAAAAACCTACGACATGACAAATCATTAGCTATTAAGAAGCTGGGCAGACAATTATGGAAGCAGTAGGAGGTAGAAGTGGTGGAATTCCAATAATTCAACAGTGGTCATACAGGTATAGTTCTACTGTAATAACTGTGCAGTTCCACTTCAGTTTTGAGGGAGAACATCCAGGGGAGGGGGTTGGTCTGAGGGATTTGTTTGCATCTTTCCATACGACCAATCTCTAGGGAGAACGTTAGGTTTGAGCTCTCTCTTGCTCCATGTGTTTTGAGTTCTCTTTTGCTGCATATACACTGTACAATTTACAAACAGCCATACCTTCTTGGATTTAAATCCGGGCCCATCAGTATAGCAGACAGTGTGGCAAAGCACTGTAACAGCTGGGCAGCAAGTCAAGGGTATGTATTTCACTGTGTTAGCAGCAAAAGAGGGATTACTTTAATTGTGGTGCAAAGAACATCAAAACTGGAGTAAAATCCAATATCCCTTGTTCTCTTTATTGAAGAGGCAGGGTTTAGTTTAATAGCTGATTTTAAATAGATTTTCATTCTTCAAACATTATGGAAGATGACTGTTTTGATAATGCAGGTATAATGATATGAGAAGGAATAATGATCGATGGATACATGTTTTTATCGCAAATCTCTGACTAACCACAGATATCGGGATGGGGTCTTATAGAACCTTATCTAAGACATTTTAGAGGTGCATATGGATATGACTTTTAAGTTATGGATGATAATACTGAACTACATTGAGCAAACCTCATTTACGAATTCTTTGAAACTAAAGACATTGCATGAATACATGGCCAGCAAAATCTCATGATCTTAATCTTTTGGAAGCAGTTTTGAAAACAGCTGTTTTTCTTTGGCTAGTGATAAAAGGGAAATAAAAATATGTATCAAGCAATTATTGTCAATTCTTATATTTTAATATACGTTAACATAAAAGTAAATGGAATAAGTTCTTTGTATTATGAGATTTTTTTAAAAAGATGTTGATTTTTCCTTTGAAGTTAAAAAAATTAAGAATTCACTTTTGTATCAATATCTTTGAAATGATATTGAATGTATTCATGAAGATCAAGTTTTTCTCAGTAGTAGTCTCACGTGTCAGTTTCTAATGAAGGATTTTAGTTTTCTTTAGCTTATTTTTTCATTTTTATTTTCTCTTAGGATGAAGTCTTTAGATGACTTGCAGATGAAAGAATTACAAGATCAATTAGAAGCTGAACAGTACTTTTCTGTGAGTAAAGTGCAAGTAAAAAAAGCGTATATTGCAGACCTTTCGTGCAGGATATTCCTTCGTATTTTTATATCACATCTCACATGAATTTTCTTCTGCAAAATTCTTTTCATGTACATAAGATAAAAATGGTATTCGAATGTAACAATGATAAATATCTATCTATCTATCTATATATATTAATATATCTGCAATCATGTTTGGAAAGATAATTATCTAATCATGTATCTAGTTTGCTGTAGTTTTGCTTAATTAAAAACATGCTGTGTTCACATATATGAAATTTACAAGATTTGGGATAATGCCTGATATTTACAAAAACCAAAAGGCCAGAAAATTTTTACTTACACGTATATACAGACATACTTGCATACATACATACGTACATGTTTATACAGGGTTATTAAGATAAATTGTATTATATTAATAACTAGCTGTACCCGCCCGGCGTTGCCCGTGCATTTAGAAAATGCAGATAAGTAAATAGCGCAGGAATAGTAGTGTAGGACATGTAGACTGTCTCTCTCTCTTCCCCCCCACAAGCTACAAAAAAGAAATGAATTGTAATTAATCGATTTAATGTATCGTCAAAACAGCAAACTAACGCTAGAATAAAGAAATCAATTGTTACAATCGAACGTTATTTGAAAACAAATAATAATATCAGTGAGTCAAAAAAAAAACCGTGATTAATTAATTATAAATAATAAGCTACAAAAAAGAAATGAATTGTAATTAATCGATTTAATGTATCGTCAAAACAGCAAACTAACGCTAGAATAAAGAAATCAATTGTTACAATCGAACGTTATTTGAAAACAAATAATATATCAGTGAGTCAAAAAAACCGTGATTAATTAATTATAAATAATTTTTTTAAAATTTTTCTAATCAAAAATCGAAAATCGGGCTTCGAGGTCTGGTGGCCAGCCCCTTTGTGCTTCCGTATAAAAAATTCCAGGTCCCTGCGTGCGATAGATTTGGCTGGAGAGCTCGGTCAGACAGACAGACAGACACATTACACTTGCTTTTATTATTATAGATGCATTAAAAGCACATTTGAAAAATAGCATACATGATATATGAATGCAGATCATTTTCCAGCATTCCATGTGATAGAGAAAACATAAAAAAAAAAAGGTGTCTTTAAAAGCCATTTTGTGTTTCAGAATTGAGTAAAATAGAATCTTTCTCCACAAGCCCAGCTCCAGAAAGCTGTTTCAATTTAATGCAAGAAATTTTAGAATATGTACTCTTTGTATAGAGAAAAATGTTCTGTGATCTCTCATATTGAAACAAGTTGACATAATATCGGCATTATACAACAGATTCCAGGGAACTTGACAGCAAGAGCAGGTCCTGAATTTCAAATTATACAGCCTACGGTTTTGAAAATTATGCAAAAGTAGTTAAAGTTCACTATATAGAAATCCAATTAAAAATTGTTTAAATTGCCGGCTAAATAAAATGTTGGAAGGTTCTTCAAATTTATAATCCAGTATCTCGTCATGTTACAATGTGATATCTTTCATGGTGTGTAGTTTACAAATTATTGAAAATCTGTACTTCTGTAATCCCTGTATATAACTGACATTAATGCTTAAAATATAATGTTAAAATGGTTGTATTTTGCTTTGATCGAAGATGGTCATTTATAGTAAAATGTTCTCGCATGAATCCAGGTTCCTAGAAATTTGTAACATTCATCATCTGTTATAGTATGAAATAGCTTTCTATTTTTTCCATCATGTGAAGAATGCATCACACATGCCCACATGCACATTTAAATAATGCTAAAGTATTGAAAGGAATTGTGTTGCCATTTGGAGCATTATTATTTTCTAAAATACTGAAGCAAATGGCCGTAGATAGCAAAATATTCATAATATGATTTGATGAATATACTTTCATTTCGAGAAATCTTGTCTATTATCGCCTCTGTTAGATTTTCTCGAAACAGGATGAATTCGAATCAAATGTCATCAAATTAATCATTGAAAATTGGATGTTGTTGTAAAGGCATTAAAAATTAGAATATATGTATATATATATATATATGAGTGTGTGTATATGATGATGCAATCTAGATTTTTTTTTAACTCCTCTCCACTTTGCATTTGAATTTATGTGTTAATGAACGTAGTAAGGATGTGTTAATAAGAATTACCCTCAAAATTTTGTAAAATTGTATTGGTCCTGGGTAGTTCAAAATGAATAGTGAAAAGAAATTTCTGTGGCTTTTAATGAATATTCCTTTAGGCTAAATTTAAAAAAGCAGTTTAAAAATCATATATGTGAAATAGAGCATATATAATAATTTGGAAAAAAGGAGTTTTTTATGTAAACTGTAAGCTGTTATTGTATAGACTATTGTATAGGCATACTGAACTATGAAAAATGTAAAATTTTAATAGCTGCATCAAATTACTCTTGTGAGAATTTTATTCTGAAACGTGAAGTGTTACCTCAAATTATTGTTAACTGTAGGGACATTGAAAAGTTTGATTTTGTATAAAAATAACACATGAATGAACGAGAAGTTACTGAAACAAAAAAAAAAAAAAAAAAAAGGCATCGTGAAACCACAGCTGCAGTGAAGTATCATTTTATTCTAAAATATACCTGCTGTGGTTATGAAAATAGCTTTCCAGGTTATGAAAGCTAATTAGTAAATTGCAGAATTTTTATTTAATCTTTTCACTACAGTAAACTTTTAACACATATTGCATGTGGTAAATGGCAAGAATTCAGTTATAAATACAAAATTCTGCTTGAATGTGGATTTTTCAGAAGGCATATGAAAATGCCTAATTGAACCAACCGCATTAACCCTCTAGCTGCTCATCCTGTGGTTTCCATGAACTCAAATGTAGTAAAATATATTCATTCCGCGATTTTTGCTGGCATGTGTTTTTCTTTCTTTATTGAGGCGTGCGTCCCGCCTTTTCACCGTTTAACCAGTGAAATAAATTATGTACAGTATTAGACGTTTAATTTAGGTTTTGACCAACAGATGTCGTTAGTCCTCCACTAAGCTGTAGCATTTGAAGGTACTTGGTATTTACCTCTCTAACTTCACTATGTTTGCCACCTTTTTTTCTAATCAGAAATGGCTGCTAGAAAACGTTCAGTGATTGACAGAATATATATTCCTCATAATTTATCAAATTCTGAAAGTGAATTTAGTTTTGATAGCGATTTTTCAGACTGCTCAAGTAGCAAAGCCTTGAACCCAGTTTTTAATTGTGTCATACTAAACTACATTTCTAAGGTATTTTTCCCTCAGTGCATTACATTTTATGTTATGCAATATATAGAAATTAAGTGCAATTCAAGTGAAATTTGTTAAAACAATTTTTTTTTGTGGTAACATCTGATGAAATTGTTTTTCCTCACAACTTAGTTTCTCATGATAAAAGTCTATATAAAAAATCTTTTCCAGAAAGAAAAAATGCATATTTCACTCCAATATATATATATATAAATTTAAAATATGAAAAATAATGAAGCAATTTTGGTCCTTAAATTGAGTAGTCAGAGGGTTAATGCAGTACTATGTAGTATTATTCTGTATTAAATTGTTAATATGTACTTCAAAACATGACTGGAATATTATGCTTTATTTCATAATGCATCTAATAATTAGCAATTTAAAAGTATCTCAAATTTCTAATATTTTATAATGAGTCTCCCGTCTGTTATTTTTTTACTCACTACACATTTGCACTTTGCAGTTTTTTAGATTGTTTCATTGTTACACAAGCAAGTTAAAATGCATTTGTATCAATCAGAAAGGTTTGCTATAATTTTTTTGATCTTTTGCGTTATTTCTGTATGCTGTATTTGGATGTAATTGTAAAGTTTTATCTTCTTAAATGCAGACATTAAACAGAAGACAGTTTTCTTCCATTAATTTGCATTAATCTTATTGGGATAGTAACTGATGAAAAACATCTGAACTTTCCTTTCATCAGTCCATTTCGATGCTAATGACTTCTAGTTACACAAAATACGTTTTCTGTTTTGTCAAATTTTTTGTTTATCCAGCTTACAATTTCTTGTACATTTGTTCAGTTTTTATGTGACTTCAGAAATAAGCGTAGACTGCTGTACCAATAAACGTGTCACAAGCCATTTCTTAGACATGGTATGAAAACTGTTGTTACTACCTCTGTGAATTTTCAATAAATTTTGCTAGTATATTTTGGACATCTTCATATTTTCCACTAACTATATATTCAAATCTGCAATATATCATGTCTTGCTCTTGCATAAGAAAAAAATATTAATCTTAAATGTACTTTTAGGTAGAACATACTGCTTAAAACAAAGCTTAAAAAGAAAGGGTAGAATGTTTTGCTTCCTTTAAGCAGGTTTAAGCTTTGATCTGCACATGATTTTAATCAGAATAAAATGCAGTTTTATGTGATCTTTTTAATTAATAAAAAATATGGTGTACTTTTATGAGAGGATCATCATTTCTAAAGTTTTTGCAGATGCGTAGGAGCTTAAGTGATAATATACTATATATTAATCCGTTGGTATTATTTCCACAAACTCAAAAGTTGTCTAGTAACAACAATTATGTTCTTAGTAGCTTATCCTTAGACCACTATTCAAATATAGGTATATCCTATGTAGTCATTCTATTAGCATTGTAACAGTTATTTAACAGTCAGAAAAGTACACATATTAGAAGGAGTGAGTAATTTGCAGTTTCGTAATATTTTTGTAATTTGTTTGGGATAGAAATGTATAAGTTCTTTGAAAAAGAAAATTCGAAATATCAAGAACACTTAGTTGGCAATGTTCTAGAATTTTCATCTTAAAATATCTGAATCTAGAAAGTAAATGCTTGTTATAAATGGGGGTGGGTGGGGAAAGGAGCCCAGTTATTTTAAAATCAATTTTGCGCTTTGGTTCTGCAATTGAATTACTTACTTTTTGAAATTTGGTTTTAGTATAGAATTCTGATAATTCACAAGAGCTTAACCCTTTGCGGCACAGTGTGTCCAGTCTGGACACACCTAAAAATTTCCTTCTGTACACGCAGAAAAATTGAATGGAAAAGGATTTATAGGTTACTGTAGGTTACTCTGAACCTTCTTTATTTATAGTGAATGGCAGCTCAACACAAACCAGTCCATATATTTTAGCCATGTTCAGTTTTTTAAGACCTCATTTTCAAGAAATCTTCCAGTTTTTTTAAGGGTTATAAAAGGAAATGTTTGAAAAGAAATTTCTATGTTATTTTTTGGGCTGTATGCTAATCTCTGTATTTTATATTAGTTTTAAATTTTTACCTTGAAATCTTGCCTAAAATCAAATGGCGAACCCTAGGTGTGCCCAGACCGGGCTCACCGATAATCTAAGGACAACTGAGAGTCTGTATTCTTTGTTCCTCTGCATCTGATCGGTCAAGTTCATTGACAACAATGCTCATTTCAGCACTCTTTTCAAAGCTGTATTCAATCAGTGTACTTCTCTAGGCCTAATTAGACTGCCTACCTTTTTTTTTAAAAATCAAAACTCCGACTTTAAAAGGTAGCGTGCTGGAAAGTGTTAATCCAGAAATGCCTCTAATCTGCACTCAGGTTCGATTTTTTTCCTATGTATTTATGAAAATAAACTTCTCCACAATGTAGTTTGTTTGAAGAATAGGTTTTTAAACTTTTTTTAACCCTCTCAGCATTACAGCCAAAAAATTCCGTACAGAAGGTTGTCTTTCACATTCATTATACATGAAAATTTCTGCTAGCTTTTAATGTATCTGATTTCAGTTTAGATGTATATTGGAAGAAAAGGAATCAAGGTACAAAATGAAAGAGTCATTTTTTAATTAAAATCAAGAAAATATCACTTATTCATGACATTTTGAGGAACTTTGAAATTTCAGGGCTAAACCCCTAACGCTCAGAGGGTTAATTATTCATCGTGAGTTTTTGCAGATTTTTTGTGTTATATAAATTCCTTACTTTTGAATGCATTTTCCACTATCCTTTTATATAAAGTTTGAATTCTTGTTAATAAATTTTGAAATTCTGAGGCGTATGTGTGGAATTTATCTGCTTACAGTTTTTCATCACATCTTAACTGCATCTCATTATTGATGTATATTATTTGTGCAGCTAATATGTGGTATCATATAAGCAGTGGATAGGCCAAGATTGTTGAAAACCACACTTCTGGATTTTAAAAATGATGCAGAATGAGCGTCATTTAAGACTACGGAAATTTTCTTTTAATAAACCCAAAATTTAAATTCTAGCACTCTTGTTTAGTTATCAGTCGAGATAATTATGTATGGATGGAACATAATGGCAGAATTAGGATATGAATTTAATTGAGGGAAATCTGTAGTGTTGGGTTTTAATAAAATGTGTATTTATTTTTAATTTTGGTTTAGCAGCATAAATATTACTCTGAAAATAATTCCATTCATGGATATGTAATTTTTGTTGCAATTATAAAATTCGATGCGTTTTTCTCATCTTTGTTTTCCCCTTAATTGGTAATTTCTTTGTATGCTTTTAATTAAAAAATGTTATAGTTTTGTTTTCAATAATTTTCGCTAAATAACTTTTAGGGTGTTTTAACTGTTTATTTATGTACAGACGGTCCAAAAATAATGTAAAAGTAAGAAAGGAGAAGTGTTAAAGAATAAGACAGGACTTAACAATCTGTAAAATTCACTAATTAAACCCACAAACATAAAGTGTGTGGATTATTGGAATTCTTTTGTACTGTATGAGATTTATTTATTACCATGTACACTTAAAGAACATTAGATAATATAAAATAAGCAATAAAGGAAGATTTAAATGTTGAATTACAATTTACTTGTGTCTAATGCAAGTTGGGTTTGTTACAATTGTTAAGGTTTAGGGTTGTGAAAAAAGAAGTAGATGTGAAGTGCAATGTGCTAAAACATTTAGGCCAAACTTCATATGTAGAGATTCATAGTCACTGATGTATAAACCAGCACAAACATTGATATACTGACCAGGGAATAAAATGTTGCAGCCAAGGGCACTGACAAATGGACAGACACCACAATCACAAGCAGTTTGCTGATCTCCAACAGCAGTAATCAGACCAAACTAAGTGAGAGCTGTGATTATTAATATACTGCCTGGCACTTTGTCGAATGGCATCTACTGCCTTAAATAACATGATGATCAGAAACTATTATGCAGAGTCATATTCTGGAAGTTTCTAATAATTATTTTCTAATTATTGTTGCTAACATTAGCTGGGAGCCTATGAGCACTTCATTTTGAGCAGTTAGGCATTTAAATGTGCCTCATGTTTCATTGGACTGAACTTATTTTAGTATCTTCATGTGCTTAGCAGTACCTTAAAAGAATAGTATTTTAAAGGTGCCTTTAGGTACGAAGGATATGGAAGAGGTTTAAATATTTTGCTAACACCAATAGTAATGCATTGTTTCTGAAAAATTTCTCTCTCTGCAAGAAAAGCAGTGAGAAAAAAAATTTTTTTTTTATTTCACTAAACCATAAAATATGAGCATTTTTTATGTATTATATTTTCAGCTAAATTCATTAAATTGGCTATTTCAAATGACTTTGTTTTCCTTTTTTTTTGCTTTTCCATGCTTGGTGAGGCTTCATAGATTAGGTATAATAAGTATACTAGAAAGCTAGTCTAAAATATAAGTGATTTCAAGTATTAATATATAATTTTTAAAGAAAGTCAATAAGCAGTATGTGACAGAAGAAAAGGCTGGAAGCTGCTGATTTATGATAATTTTACAAACATTAATAGAATGTTTATAATGTTCCGAATTAAATCATAAATTTTAGTAAATTGTTTTGGTGTTATGTGTTATAAGAGGTATGTAATGTTTTGTAACAACTCAGCCATTTAAACCAAAATTATTGCTATTATATTTAATTTATGACTTTATTTATTATCTTTCAGTGAATTGAAAACCTTGGCTTCATGTTGATGGAAAGTTTTAATGTATTGACAGCATTAATGTTGCTTATATTGTTTCATTCTCAGTATTGAATCTCTAATTAATGTAGTTATATTTCTTTCTCAATGCAGAAATTCATGGAAAATATGGAATGTGTTTTTGGATGTTTCTATGCAATTTATTCCTAGCTGATGATTATTTCATTATGTATTATTGTTTTTTATTTTAGTTTTTTGAATACTTATCACATTTTTATTTTAATATAGACACTTTACAAGTCTCAAGTTAGAGAACTTAAAGAAGAAATTGAAGAGAAGCAAGAAATTATAATAGATTTAGAAAATGAAAGGTATTATATTTTGCATTTGTGTTTTCTAACATTTCACTTTTATTGCTGAATGGGAAAATGTTTATTATGATTAATTAAATTTGTTTTTCACGTTTATGATTTATATATAATGATTGAATAAAATGTTCTCAACTTTGTAGTTAATCATAATACTTTTTAGAAAAATATATTCGTTTGTTGCGACTTATCTTACTTGTTTGACTGTAATAGTAGAAAAAGTCCATAAGTTTAATTGTGTCTAAGAATGTGGGATTGTGTGTTTTCATAGTCCTAGGGACTGAGTTAGTTACAGTACAATTTCTCTCCCAATTTTGAGGTCCACCAGCAGCTGTGTGGTAAAGTTGCTGAACACTGGTAGTTTAGTCCGAGGTTTGAATCCTACAAACAGGCTGGCTGCATGGGCATTTTTATCATGTGTAATGTGTATGTGAGCCAGTTTCCCTTAGAAAGTCCTCTACAAAGGCATCCTTCCCTTTAGGCAAATAGCCTTCGAGTGTTTTGCCATAGTCAAATAAGCCAAACCAAACCTAATTTTGAAGGTGAATCTCCTGTGGTATGGGTCCAAGTGTGTCCCACTTACCTTTCCTTACTACCAAATCATTTGAGAGGAATTTAGCATTGCCAATATTTAAAGTTTCCTTATGCCACAGAGACAATGTACAAACATTCAAGCCGTTTCCAGGATTCAAATCCAAGCCCCATTATATGTGGCAGCCACCAGTGTTTGCGTATAGTTTGTACTATTACTGTATTTGACGGCATATAAGACGCACCCTTATTTAAATGGCCACATACAAGGGAAAAAAGTTTCAATAGCGTGGTTTCTTTTAGTTCTCACGTTTCATAAAAGCCAAAAAACAATTATTGAATGCAATTACCTTCACGTATAAGACTGTGTCCTTCACGTATAAGACACAGGTAACTTTTTTGAGACCAAATTTAGGAAAAAAAGTTCGTCTTAACCCTTTAAGCGGTCAATTTTTTTACCAGAATTGCTCCCCAAAAAAGCATATTTTTTTATTGCATATAATTAAGTACCATACTTAATAGAATAAGAATAATAAGAGTTTTTAATGTTTTTTTCACTTTTAATGGTTTTACAACATTTTTTATTTACAATTTTGGAAAACAAAACCTCTAAATGTTTGCTTTTTTCAAGTACATTTTGCATGCAGTGAATAATGGTTTACAATTTCTTATAAAAATTTCTCATACTTACTGTGAATTTGAAGTTTATATTTTTCCAAACAGTTCAGAATCATTTTGTGTATGGTATAATTGAAGCATGGTGTAATGCAGAGTCCTACGTCGCAATCAATGCAATACCTGTTTCTTTCGTATTCTTTTCCATTCTCATTTCTTTTAGAACAGCACACTGTGCATTGTCTTGCAGGTCTCATTTCTTATCGTGGGAGCATTATTTCTAAAAAATGTCTCTCTGTCAATCCCAGAGGATTAGGCTCCGAACCTGGTCGTCCACGTCGGAAATTTTGTCCCAAATGATATGTTTCAATATACGGTCACACGAGATCAAGTCTAATTCCAGTTGCGTACGTTTTCTCTGTTTACGGTAGGACAACATATGAGTTCCATACAGCAATATCAAAATTTGGAAAAAAATCTTTCTGTAACATTTTTTCCCTTTTCTTGATATTTCAAAACTCTTCAAATTTTGGTCCATGCGTCTACTCCTCCCATAGTATTATTATAGTCCATAACAATTTTCGGTTTTCTTTCATATCAGAGCGGACTTGAATTTGTTCCATTTCAGTATTGTGAATGTGGAAAGTAATGAAACTTTTTTTTATCCTCCACTTCATCACAGTACTTTTCCTCTCTGAAAACCTATAAATCTCTCCTTTTTTCAATTTTCTTTTCTGCATTTCTTTTGGGACTTCTTTTCTCTTGAGGTTTGTGTGCCGTATGTGTCCGTTCGAATGAAACTAGTTTTGTTGCAATTCTGGCAAGAATAATATTGTCTATTGTAAGACAGTATCCTTTATGAAGCAAAGGCTCCATCATTGTCAGGACAATTTGTGATGAAAAGCAAAGTTTAAATATTCAGGTTTCAGAATTGTGTCTTTACCTGTATATATTATTATTGACAACTAATCAGAATTGGATTCGCACAACATAAAACATTTTACTCCAAATCTAGCTCTTTTGAGTGGAATAAATTGTTTTCCATCCTAGTCGTCCTATCAGGTTCATGTTTCTTCTAAACCTTCTTCGGAACATACAAGGACCTGACTAGGAACGAGCTTACTAAAGCTTGTTCACTAATGTAGTAAGACAGGATACAGACGAAGGGATACAACCCTTTATTTTCTTTATATACAATGACTTCCGTACTTCGAACAATGCCTCCACTCGGTCTCTAACTAAAGATATCAAAATAAAAAACCTAATTTAACTTTAAAATATACACGTGTAAGATTGGCCTTATAATAACAGGAAGCGTATTAGCACAGAGACTGTGAACACTACAATACGTTTAATTTATTAAGAGATTAAAACCTCTGGCCTGGAAGGCAAATACACTGCGTAACTTCTAAGGTAAGCGGCCTGCTTCAACTCACTGCTTCCTCTCTCTTTGCGTGGCAAAAAGGCCACTTAAATACTTGGCGTCGCCCGACAAACTTTGCATAAAATCCTTAACGCTTATAATTCGGCCGGAAGTAGAATAAGAATGATAGTAAGATTTAAAATAAAATAAACGTTAGTAAAACTTAAGATCCTTACAGTCCTTTGAATAGATAAGGCTCTCATCTATTGTTACATCTCGCTCTGGTGTCACCGTTTCCTAAATTCTTATTGAGATGTTTACAACTGGCCAAACTTTACTAATTTTGGGCATTGGATTTTCTTGTCAAATGCTGCATATCAAAAAATGCAAGTAACGTTGCAAAAGACAAATCGACAATTAGACATTATTTTAGAGAAAAAGGTGTATTAGTCGAATATCTTTTGCTCCAATAATGATCAATTCCAGGTTCTTTACAATTCCTTGAGGTATTTCAGAGCGAAATACATGCACTCGTTCACAGTTGTCTCTTCCCAAAATTTACTCTTTGAGAATTGTTTGCACACTCGTGGATGCAGTGTTGCATATTTATTTGTCGCTTCCACAATTTTACTCATGAGTGAGAATCAATGAATGTTTCATAAAATTCTAAAACATCAGAAGTGTCATCAAATTGTGCGTGAACAGAGGTATACCAGTAAATTTAAATCGAGACACTGACAGGTGGATTTTTCACATCAACCTCGGTAAAATCCTTGAGAACACAATCTTCTCAGAGCTGAGCTCACTGCATGATTCATCTGAGGAATGATCCAAAATTAGATGAAAATCTGTATCGTATCAGAATGTGTTCATCATCTAACAAGAAAGTATTTTCGTCGTTATTCCTCCTAACTTTCCATAAGAAAAGACAAGGTTTTAAATTCTCAAGCATTGAATACAGTAAAAAAATTTCAAAAAATCCCCTTTCCCGCTACAAGAAAAACCAGGATGAAAAGCTTTCAGTTACATGGACAAGTCACCCATCTGTCGAAAAATATTAATACTAAATTCTTTACATATTGAAAAATACGGGCAAACCAGAAAAGGAAAGAAGAAAATATCTATGCCCGTACGCCGTACGGTCAAACCGTTTGAGGCCAATTTCGGGTAGCACGTACACCGTACGGGCAAACTGCTTAAGGGGTTAATACGTTAGTTAATTTTATGTTTTTGTTCAGTTGATTAATGATCTTTTTAATCCTGTAAGCACAAGCTTTTTCCCTTTTAATATCTTTCTTTTTAATAACTTGAAATGCTTGTTGACAGTATTTAAAGTAAATTTTTTAACACTTTTGTTTTGAAATTTGTATTTTTATGAAATATACATTTTCAGAAAAAATTTATCTCACCAATTGGAGTTAGCTGTAGCACGAGCTGATTCTGAATCTCTAGCAAGATCTATTGCTGAAGAAACTATTGCAGATTTGGAAAAAGAACGTACTATGAAAGAATTGGAACTGAAGGAGCTAATTTCTCGTCATAGAGCAGAAATGGCTAATAAAGACAATATTATTGCAAATGTAATATGTTTACATTTCTTACTGTATCTTGCTTAAATCTTAATGTATATTAAGAAGTATTGTAGCCAGTTTTATTAAGCCCTTGATATTTGTACTTGCAAAATTATCCAATTTTGTATCTGTTTAAAATATTTCTCTTTAAATGTGCGAAATAAGCTTTGAGTATTTATAATATATCATACATTCTATATGAAACTTTTTAAATTTCATTCAGTCTCATGACATTAATGCTGTACTGTACTGTGAATTCTTCTGTTGCATGTTTTTTTACTGTCATTGCACAATAATTTGAACCCAATAGCATAGCTTGTATTTATGATTTGGTCTAGTAATTGATATATAGGACAAATGTGCATGGTCTCTGCTGCAGAATAATTTTGATGTTAGAAATGGCTGTATTTTATGGCTCAGGAAACAGAAAGGTAAACTCAGGAAGGTTTAATTACCCTTTATTGCTCAAAATAAAGGTTAACAGATGGCCCTTTCTCAGGACATACAGAAAAGCCTCCACTTGGGCTTAAACTCAAGAGTACTAAGAAAATCAAACTTAACTAATGCTTGACTAAAAAGATATAGCGAAGCTATCAAAATTCTACAGGAGTAGGCCCCTAAATGTTAACTAAATGGCGAAGCTATCAAGGGCCTGAAATGCAGCCCGAGTGTAGTAATAGCTTAGAGAGAGTGTAGCCAAATGACAAATGACCACTAGTGTGAATCTCTGGCTCTCTAACGACATCAGTAGAACTTCGCCTTAGGTACTGCTCTTCCTTCATTTGCATTTAACCGCGATTGTAAAAACACACTCTGGCCGGAAATTTGCAAGCTGAAATTAGAAGGGATAGGAAAGTAGCTTTAATTAAAGATAACTGTTAAAAACATAGGATAAACCTTAAACTATATATTGTATATTTTACTGCAGAATATAATCATTTTAATTTTCAAATAGTGGAAACTATAAAAAACTGTTTTAATGGTTAGAAAAGTACTAAAATTATATAACCTCAATAAGTTGTCAAAAGGAAATTTTTGAACCAAGTGCAAAATGTTCTGCTGTTTCCATTAGTGATGCAACTGTGTGCCTTTGAGGGTTGTGCTTCCTTAACCTGAATATTAGGAAACTTATGAATAAATTAATTTTACAGAAAAAAAGATTTCTTTGAATGAAATAAGTTGAAGTTTTGAATTACATATAAAATTGAATTTTATGTATTGCAATAGATAATATGTTTATAAACTTTAATAAAAATTACATATATATAAATGAATAGAAATAATTTTTAAATTTCATATAAATTGAAATATTTTGTTTCAGATTAGATTATATTTCATATAATAAAAAATTAAATAGTAGTGTTTAAATGTATTAAATTTAAATTGTCCTTAAAACATATGTTAAAATTTTTACATTTAATGGTCATGATTTAATTCTTATTATTGCTCACAGTATTAATGATATATCAGATATTACGTGTATCACTGTAGGTTTAAATAAGTATTACTTTGCAGTGTCGTGTGTGTACTCTTTGCATGTAAAATTACTATGAATTTTACTTTCTTGTAGTTATAAATTTGCTTATTTCTCCTATTAGAGGTATGAGTATGTTTTCGTTGGAGGTTCATTATTTTGTTGGATGTTCTCATTTTTAATCACTTGTTAGTATTTAGGCCAATGTTTTATAGGTGATTATTTTAGAAATCCTTTTTGAATTTGGTTACATTCTAGCTGTGTCGTATTTTATAGCATATCTGAATATTTGCATTTATTAATTCCTCACATGGCTATTTTTGTAGATTAAATTCAAAGCTGATGTTGAAATTTTTGTCTCATTTGCCATTATTCATTCATAGCTTTTGCTGAAGCAGTTCATCTAGTCTTTTGAATTTGCAGATGCAAATTTATTCGTTAACTGTTATCATGTTCCACATTTAATCATATTTTTACGCATTTTTAAGTGTGTTAAAAAAGAGAGTAACTGAAGTAAATAATTCTTCTTCAGTGGCTCAACAGCTCTGGGTGGGCCCTGGCCTTTTCCAGGCACTTCTACTTTTGGCAACTGTTTTCTAGTGTTTAACCTTTAAAATATTAAGATCTTTTTCAACACAATCAATCCACCTTAGTGTGTGTGTGTGGGGGGGGGTCTGCCCCAAGGACTATTTTGCATTGGCTTTGCCAGATTTTCTTGCAACAACGATCTCATTCATTCTAGCCAGGAGTCCTGCCCATTTAAGTGTCTGTAATTTGACGAATTTTACAATATCAGGTTGCTTGTAAATTTTATAGAGCTCTAAATTAGATCTTCTCCATGATCCATTCACTTGGACCCCACCAAGAATGCAATGTATTTTTCACTTAAATATTCCCAGAGCTTCCTCATCATGTAATACCAACACCCAAGTCTCTGATGCTTAAGTCAAGACAGATCTTATAAGACTTCTGTAAAGAAGCAATGTTTTTCTTAATTTAAGAAAGCTGAAGTAAGTAATTAAAAGTGTGCAATTAAGGCAATATATGTTTACTGATTTGCAGTTGCAGTTTTGTATAGCTAAATGAAGTACCTCATTGCACAAATTACACAACAGAATTCTATTTATAAATTTGAAATGAATTTCGCTTTGAGTTAATGGCACATAAAAGTTTTTGTTTATCCAGACTTACTTGTAGTCGTATTATCCAAACATTATGGAAATTAAAAGTCTTACTATTTTTTAGAAGTAACTTTTTTCCATTTCAACTGAAATATTTGGAGTCGATTCAAATTCAGCTAGTAAAATAATTGCTGATACATGTTTTAAAATTAAATTTTCTGGAGACCAGTGTAACGTTGTTATATGAATGTATCATGGAACTGTTTAATAGCTCATAAATATCTGTTATGTGCATTCACATAGTGATTTGTTGTAGAGAACAAACTTATTCAATTTGCTTAGTTTGAATGTGTAAAAAATAGGCTCATGTGATGTGAGTGATAGGAAAGGTATAAAGCTAATAAAGCAAATCGAGATGTGATGAAAATGTGTGTTTTAAAACACCCATTTGTGTACATCATGCAGTAAATATGTAATTTAAAGTGTGAAAAAAGCAACATTATTGCTTCATGTAATTCAAACCTATTGTTTTGGTGTCGATTAAAAATACTTTTTTGTGATCAACTCTTGATACTTCTTATATTACGTTTCCATTCTGTATAATTTCAGATTTATTTTTTATATTAAATTTATAAATAAAATCTGTTAGGTTTTCTATTAAACAAGTTTTTTGCTCATGTTTGAATTTTAGCTTAGGAAATAGACCATTCATAGGTGGGTGGGTAGGTTAATTCAGTGGTGGTATTTTGTTGTTTTATTCCTGGTACAGTAGCAGCTAACAGTCATTTTGTTCTTTTCTTCATGTCTAAAATATAAATGTTAACTTGCTTTTCCTTAAAAAACTCTCCTTTTTCATGATGCCATTTCTCCAAAGGATGATACAGTAGGTCTTGAGTACTCATCTGCAGTAAAATAATTTATCTGTTCTTTCTAAAACTGGAGTGTGTTTAATATTTCATATATGACCCTTTTTAACTACATTATTCATTATGGTTGATGTGATAGGCTGAGGTACTACTTTTTGTTTGTTATGCCTGTGATGTTACCAGCTTGAAGTCTTAAGAGAAGATATGTATTCAATAATGAAAAACATTTGCAAATTATGGCTGGTTTTCCAATGCTTTAAATGTTATTAGGGAAGCTAGTTAACAACACTAATTTGTATGTGATTTTAATAGTAAAAACATACTTTAAAATTTTTTCATTAAAAAAAAAGAGATACTTTTACTGTGAATTTTGCAATATTTGAACAGTTTTAATTGGATTAATGTTAAAAGATTGGAGGCAACTTCGTCTGCCTATGTTGTGTTTGGAAAATTAGTTTTACCATGACTGTTGTCAATACATATGCATCTTAGTGTTTAGTCTTTTTTTTTTTTTTTTTTTGTATGTATGTAATTCATACAGAAATCAAATTATTTCAGTCTAGAGAAGTAAAAATGGTAAATAAGATGCTTCATTTTATTTTTGAGTGATGATTATCATTTAAAAATTTTTATTTTGATTTGTCATAAATATGGAATTTCTGCAGGTGAAAGATAAAGAAAATGAATATAAAAAAACTATTGATATTATTACAAGAGAAAAAGAAGAACTAAATCTAAAACTCCTGAGTGTGCAAGATGGTTAGTATGTACTTCATATCTGTAATGTAATTTGATCTATTGTGAATTTTGAATGTGTAGCAGAACTTACCTGTTAAAGAAGCGTGATAGCATTAGTAATTCAGTATTCAAATGTACTTGATTATTAAGATCCAAGTTTTTCAAACAGTGTTTTTATATACTTTTGCATAGATTTTTAGTAGAAATTTAAAATTTATTCTGCCATCTTAATGTGTTTACATTTAGTTCGCTTTGTGCTGCATCTTTAGTTTCTCCTAAATATATATAAGCCCCTCTACTTTCAGATCTTAACAGTGTGCGAAGTCAGTCTGTCAATGTTGATGATCAAATACAGCAACTGAATAAACAGTTGCAACAAGAGCGTTTATTGAAACTGCAGGTAACATTCTTCCTGAGTTTGTTGTTTTATTTCCCCATTTTCTGTAAAATGGTTTGCTACTTGCATTTTTTTAAAATCTTACAGGCTGTAAATAAGCTCGCTGAAATTATGAATCGCAAAGACTGGTCTGGGAAGAAAAATAAATCCAGTGCAACTGATCTGAGGAAGAAAGAAAAGGAGTGCAGAAAATTGCAGCAAGAGTTGACAGTTGTGAGTTCAATAAAATATTTTTTATATGCATAATATTTAAGGAATCATATGATGAGCTAATCCTATATTGAATTTAACCATTAATTTTTTTAATCAAGAAAAGAAACATGTAACATAGTAAGGATTGTTCTGGCAAGAAATTTATAGTATAAAACCACTATCAGACCTGTTAGCTACCCTCAGTTGCAGTTCAAAAGAAACATTTTGAAGACATATGATTAGTTTACCTATATGAGACAGAGCATTTTCCCCAGCCTTGAAAAATGTTTTGAGTACATATGCATAACTGTGATTTGTTGGTTGTGCTCCACAAAAATTTTTTTACCATGATTTAAAAAGTATTATATTTTGTAAAATAACATCTTTTTAATTTTGGCATTTATTGCTGGATTTTCTCGTGACTGAATATTTTTACATTATGTGTGATGAAAAAGGGGGGGGGCTTTCATTTTCTATGAAAAACTCAGGTTTATTTTCCTTCTGTTTGATTTTTAATGTGTATATTTTAGCAGTTATGTATAAATTTGATTTTCTTCAGGAAAAAGAGAAGTATAATCAAATGGTAGCACGATTTCAAAAGGAACTGTCAGAAATGCAGGCTCTACTGTATGATGAAAGCCAAGCAAAACTGAAGTTGCAGATGGAATTGGATTCCAAAGATTCTGAAATAGAGCAGTTACAAGAGAAATTGGCTCTTGTGAATAGTGAAACAGCTAGTGTTAATAGTGGGCCTGACAATGATACTGATGATGGCTTTCCAGGTAATAAATCAGATTTTGTTTTCTCAAGCAATTTAAGTGTTTTAGATTTTTATAATTTTTGACTGTGGGACTATTTTGAGAAATACTTTAATGTTTACTTATTTTTCATATAGTACTATTTGTAGTAATGTATATATAGTAATGTACTATTTATTCATACTTTCAGCAGTTTCTTTTACTTCTTTTATATTATTTGCTGAAATGTTTAATAATAATATGTTTGAGAATCCTTTAATAATTTAAAAATGTTTGTTTAAAAGGCAATAAGCTTAGAATCTGGAAATTTTATTAAGATTGTATTTTATAATGCTATTTTAAGGCCTAGCAGCAACTATCCAGGAATGATGAAAGTGGAAATATTCATAATTTCACTGAGGTTTTCTTTATAATTGGTAATACACGTTTTGAAAATATTGCTTTAATAAAAGTTGTCTTCATGAGTTAAAAATAATGAAAATTTAATGCTTTCCATGTTTTTATATGGGGCAGTTTTCAGACATAATATTTCTTTAGTAAAGCCCCTTTTCTAATATTAAAAACATTTTTTTAAAATTCTACATTAAAAACTAAATTTTTATTAAACATATATATGCATGTACAACACAGAATAAAAAATATTACATATTTACGTTCCGAAAACTTATTAAAAACAAATGTTTTTTTTAAAAAAAATTCTATATTAAAAACTAAATTTTTATTAAACATATACAGTACAAATTTCATAATCTGGACATCCATTATCCGGACCTCAAAGCCACAAAGTTACGCATGCCCGTAATGCGTTTATGCATGCGCGTTTGATGTGCATGCGCGTAAAGCCAGTAAAGCGTTTGCACATGCGCGCTTCCAATAGTGAAGAAAGTGACAGAGAGGTTATTGAAAATGAAAAAATTCGATTGACAAGTTAGTCAGTATTCTCGACACAGCAATTACAGGATTTGAACAGTGGAACTTTGTAACCGAGAAAGAAATTATGTCTGTTTATAGAAGAGAGAATTACAGAGAAAGTTATTTCGTTCATCTTGTCCTGAGTTGTGTGAGTACACATGCCTTTGGGAAATAGTTTTAGAAATTATCATCTTTTGTTATGTCTGCGAGAAAGATGAAATACTTCCGTACGTTTGAAAAATAGTACCAGTTAACTTTCCTTCCATTATTTCCTCAAGGAAATATAATAAATTTGCAATGTGTACCATGTCGTTGTGATTTTTCGATTTTGCATGGTGGAAGGGCGGATGTTCTCAATCATGTGTATACACAAAAACACAAGAACAACATGAGTTGTTTTGAAAAAAACGAAAAGTTAAATATTTCTTAGGAAACAAAGGACCAAAACGTTATTAATGCAGAAGGTCTGTTCTCTGCCTTTTTATTGGAGCATAACCTGCCACTGAATGCATAGGATCATGCTGCAGCTTTATTTAGAAAAATGTTTCCCAATGGTGAAATTGCTAAGAACTACTCAATCGTGAGGACGAAAACATGTGCAATTGTTAAAGAAATGGGTTTGAAAAATAAATCTTCAGTTATTGATTGCATTAAAACAGCTCCGTCCTGCTTCTTTACGAATGGAAGCAATAATACCGATTCAAAACTGTATCTAATTGTTGTTTCTCTTTTTAATAGAGTCTTCAGAAATTGAGTGCAGTTTACTTTCTGTCCCCACTTTAGAACGACATTCGACAGACTTTAATATAGCACAGCTAATTATTAAAACTTTGAAAAAAAATGCAGTCCCTCTGGATAATTTGCTTAGCACAGTAAGGATAGGCTAGAAGACTGTTGTTGCAGGCATCTTAAGAAAGGAAAATTCAGATTTGCAGATATGTTTGCACCTGTCACCTCTAAATTAGCAGCTGAAAAAAGGGCAGCTTCTTTACCAAAATATGGATGAACATATTGTTGAGATTTATTATTACTTGAAAGAAGTTCTAAAGGAAGAAAAATTGAAACAGTTTCCAACAGCTGCATAATACTGAAAAGAAAAATTTTGAAATAGTGTGTGTACACGCTGGCTGGTCTTTAAAGAAATGTTATCTAGAATCCTCGATCAATGGAACCTTTTGCATTTTTTAAAGAAAAAGTAAATGCTTTCGAAGTTAATAAAAGCTCTATTGAAAGTTTAAATACCTAACATTAAATGGAGGTGTAGTTACTGTTTAATTGTTAAATAGGTTTAGAAACTTAATTTCGCACATTCAGCAATTCAACGGCATTCTCAAAATATACTGCAAAAATAAGCGTAAAGCTGATACAAATTTCTCTCAAAATAAAAAAATTGCTCAACACACGAAACATTTTCTGATTACTGTAAGTTTAGCTAAGCACGAATCTGCCACTGTTCGGCATTCTGAATACGAAAGCAAAATCTGCCAGTGTTCATAAGATTTGCACGAAAACTGATTAAAGTGTTTTCCCCCCCCTTGGTTGTTTTTGTTTTCTTAAACCATGCAGGTAATAAAATGTTTTTTATGTGTAAGGTATTTTTGTGTTGCAGACTGGGAACTCTTCTCTTCCTCCGCAGAGCTGACAGAGGAAATGGTAGAAGATGTGCATATCGATGATGCTGTGGAAGATGTTACTAATACTATTATTCAGGCAGCTAGCTTTCGATTCCTAGAACATCAGGAAAAATACTAAATACTCAAAACCGTGGTGGAATCTGACTGTATGAAGCACTGAAAAACAGAAAAAAGCATGGGGTATTTTTCGTAGATATCCTACTCTGCGAAACCTCAGCTTTTAAAAGCCAAAGCAAATGCCGAAAAGTAAGGAGGCAGAGCCAAAGGAATTCTTGGATCTCATATGTGTCGTCAATAACCTTCTCCACGCCTAGTAAGCGGGTTTGGGAAAGAGTTCGAAAAGCATGCGGAATCTACTCGTATAAAGACCACTCACTTTCCTTCTTGGAAAAAGATGGCCGAGAGATTAGCTCCATAGAAGAAATAGCGAATACTATTGGTGAGACATTTGCTGTCGTTTCTTCCAGCATAAACTATTCACCTGCATTTCTCTCTATCACGCAGCACTCAGAAGTAAATCCCATCTCATTCAACTCTTCCAAATCTGAGCCTTACAATAGAGCATTTACTATGCTGGAATTAAGGAGTGCTTATTGCAGACACAGGTCTTCTCCGGGGTCTTGATGGCGTGAATTACGAAATGCTAAGCATCTGTCTTATAAGTCACTGACTGCCCTTCTCAGTCTTTACAATAGAGTGTGGAAGGAGCGTACCTTCCCCAGTGCATGGAGGAGAACTATTGTCATTCCTATTGCTAAGCCAGGGAAAGGTCCAAGGAATCCCTCCAACTATCGGCCAATTGGCCCTTACGAGTTGACTATCCAAACTGTTTGAAAAGATGGTAAACAGCCACCTAGTCTACTTCTTGGAAAAGAATAATATTATATTGCCTTATCAAAGCGGTTTTCGAAAGGGAAGAATGACCATAGATAATATGCTTCCTTTTAGAGACATCTATTCGAAAAAGCTTTTGTCAAAAGAAGTCACCTTGTCGCAGTATTCTTTGGGGATATTGAGAAAACTTATGATAAGGCATCGAGATACGGTATACTTCGAGATCTTCACGACAGTGGCTAGCGCGGCAACCTACCAATTTTCATTCAGAATTTCTTGAATCCTAAAACGTTTCAAGTAAGGATTGGCTTTATTTTGTGGGATGTTTTCGAACAGGAAGAGGGTGTGCCTCAAGGCTGTGTGCTTAGTGTAACCCTGTTCAGCCTAAAAATAAATTCTGTATTAAAACAACTTCCTCCCACCGTCTGAGATCTCTATAGTGAGAAATTTACAGATTAGCTGTCGAGGGGCAGACAGAGATTCATAGAGAGGCAATTGCAAATGCTGAATAAATCCAAGAATGATCAGACAAACAGGGATTTACTTTTTCAAAACAAAAACTGTGTGCGTGCACTTTTGTAGGAAGCGTCTCCATCCTGAACTAGTTTATCTGATGGTACAATTATTCCAGTTGCACCTGAAGTAAATTTTTAGGAGGACGTTCGCCGAAAATTGACTTTCCTTTCTCATTTTAAACCTGAGAGAAGTGGCTAAAAACACTAATATTTAAAAGTGTTGGCGAATCACTCCTGTGGTGCAGAGTGTTGCTCCATGCTTCGCATTTACAGAGCGCTTATCCGCTCTAGACTGGAGCCCACTCACTCACTCAAGCAGCCTTTACTTGGCAGAAAATCTGGGTTGATAGAGGATTCTCCATGTTCTTTAAGGTGCTTGAAAATTTTGAGTGCTTTTTGTTTAATGATATTAACATCCAACGGAATTTGTTTTTGACCGCTATCATCAATACAAATGCTGAGTGCGTTTCCCATCTTCTCAATTATTGGCACCCGGGAGGGGGTGAACTGAAGGTTTTGCGAATGTCAAAGATCGCGCAGCAAATGCATTTATTTCTTTTTCATTTTTTGCAGTTGCTTCATTCAAATTATAACATTTTCCAATGTGAGATGCCTTTTCTCCTTTTAAGCGATGGTCCAAAATTTATATCTTTACTTCTAAAGAAATGATTTTCCTCTTAAACATTGCCTTTTATCTTTATCAGACATGTTTTGAGAATAAACTTAATGTCTTAAAGAGGAAAAAGTTATTCTTTAACACGCCGTGGAATGACGGAAACTGTCGACCAGCAGCTTGAGAGACTTTTGTTTTTGGGCCATGGAGATGAGGATTCGAATTTTTGGTGCTTTGCTCAATATGAAAATCTTCATGCGGAGTTTATTAAATTTATTCGGATTCCTTGGGCAATTTTCTTACTGTGTTAGAGCAAAACCGTGCTGTAGGAGGGTTCTAGCAATTTATGAATCGTGTTATAGCAATACCGTGTTATAGGATGCCGTGTTGTAGTTGGTCTACTTGTATTTGAACAATGAAATCTGATGAAAGTTGTACTGTTAGAAAAATGTTTTTATTGGTTAGTGATGAATATTAAATCTGTCACATAAAAACATATTGCTGTATAATAAAAAATAGAAAATTAAGTATGAGAATAAATTTTAATGTCTAAAAGGGTTCATTTAATAAATGCACACATTGGTATGGTGATGACCATTTCTTTCATGCTTGCAAAAGAAGAATGTATATCTAGAGTAGAAGATTTAGGGACACTTTGGAATGAATGTTATTATATAGATGTGACAAAGATTTAAGGAATTTGTGAAGACCTTTTCTATTGTAGTTTTCGATGTGCATTACTTTGGTAATAAAAACATTTGTAGCTTTATTTGGGGGGGGGTGACTTGCTGGAAGGTAAGTTGTATTGAAGTAAGAAAATGTTCTTTCTTTCTAAAAGAATTGATATTTTGATAATATGGTGATTTGTTTAAATATTTTAGTTTTATTACCTGTAGTTACTGTATATCTGTAGTTATAAATGTAAATTTTATCATTTTTATTTTCCCATTTTCTGATTTTTTCCTCTTTATACATATATATAGAGATTCGTCTTGAAGGCTGGCTATCAATTCCTAATAAACAAAATATCCGTCGACATGGCTGGAAGAAACAGTATGTTGTAGTGAGCAGCCGCAAAATAATTTTTTATAACAGTGAAGCTGATAAAGCCAATGCAGATCCTATAGTTATTTTAAATTTAAGGTAAATGTTTTTAGAATTATTTTGAAATTAGTGATAACAGGGTTTGTACAGTCGTTAAAAGTACTAAAGTTTTTTGGAAACAATTTTTAGCTGAAATCGAGAATAGGTCCTTAATTTTTCTTATCTGACATTTCTGTCTATTTTTTATGACAGCCATTTTGATTGTTTATTAGTATTTTCGAGGAATATTTTTTGGTGATTCATTGGAAATACATATTTCTTTCCTACTTCTTAATATAAATAGTGAGGTGCCAGAAGATTCTAGTACTCTGCTTCTATTGAAACATTGTTTCAAAATTATTTCTTGTGTGAAAATGAGTATTTCATAAAATATTACAAAACAACTTTTCCCTTTTTGAGATATTTCGTGTATTATGTGGTGCTAAAATTGGCGACTTATCAACATTTTGGCAATTTCAAGATAAATTTGTGTACAAAATTTTTCATGTGGAGATTTTTTGCGTTTTTTTTAAAAAAAAAATAAATATAATAAAATTGAAAAGTCATTGAAATATTGATACTCTATTAAAAATGTAATTAAGAAATAACATTAAAATAAAGCACTTTTATTTTCCCGTGTTAGATTTTAAAATATTACCTTCCATTTTGGCATTTTAAAAATATTTTGATTCTTAGAAATAAATAAGATAATAAATGCCATGAAAGAAAGTTTTTGAAACACTTCTGAACAAAAGCAAAACAGCTAGTGTAATAATTAAACAATTAATTTCATCTTCCTTCTTTAATATTTTATAAGAGTTTTTTCATGTGTAGGTGTTCCCAATATTCAAATATGTGTCAGTTTTCTCTTAAAATTTCACTTTATACTTCTCTTTTCTGAATTTTTTATTAAAAAATTTTGTGATTTTTTTTGCTTTTACAGAGTGGGATAATTTTTTGGCACCTCAAAATGTTTAGAAGGATTCAAAAGCAAGATTTAAGAAAAATATGACAAACTGAAAAATGCTTTCATGTCATTAACATGTAATGAATTGTAATTAATTGTAATTAAAAATTTGTAATGAATTTCTTAATTTTTGGAAAATTTTTGTATCTTCACTTTATTATCTCCTCTTTTCATTAGACGCAGGGTGGAAAATTGCAGAAATGGTTCTAATCATGCCATATGGAGACCCGTTAAAAGATACATCTTATGTGTACCATATACAGGGGCAGCTGTAGGCATATTGGCACCTGTGGCAATCTCTGTGGGTCTTGAATTGGTCCTGTATGGGTCTTGTCTAGTGTCTGTCCTACATTATAAAAATTTTGCTTTACCCTAATTTTATTCGGAGTCAACAAAATCTCTAAATTTTGTTGTTCAGTGCTTCTTTAACTTGTAAATTTCTGCCAAAATGGCTTTGCCACTGCCTGTGACCTTGTATCATTTTATTTTTATTCTCAATACTCATATTACGAGGGCAATCCCCCCAAAAAAAGGTCTCCTAGATTTTTAGATATCAAAGAACCGTTTATTTTCTATAATTGCTACATCACTTTAAAGATTGCAGAATGCTTTATTTTTCAACATAATCGCCATTTCGGTCGATGCATTTTTGTAGACGCTCTGGCAGTTTTACAATGCCCATGTCATACTAGTTTGCCGCCATGCCCTTCAGGAAGCGTTGAGGAGCTTCAGAAGCATCCAGATGATCCTCTGATCTTTACGCATTTTACAAACTCAACAATTGCAAAACTCAACGAATACGAACTCAACAATCGCAAAAGTTGAGATGGCCTCCCGCTCCTTTCTTCGTCATGAATTTCCGTACGACCGGCTGTAAACTCTCTACACCACTTGCGAACGTTTTTGACATCCATGCACGACTGTCCATACAATTCTGTCAATAGGCGGTGAATTTCAACCAGTTTAACGCCTTTATCGTTCAAAAATTGAATAACTGTGCGCACTTCGCACTTGGCGGTAACGTTTATCGGGAGCTCCATTTCGAAAGGCTGCCAAGCCAAGACTGAGCATCCGAGCGAAGCGCCTGCGTGCTTATGTGGTAGCGGAGAAGGCACCACTCACAACAGTGTTGCCAACAACCGTATTAAAACTTTCTCTACGTCCCCCAAAAATAGGAGACCTTTATTTTTGGGATTGCCCTCGTATTAAGGAAATAAAATTAGCAGTTTCTACTATACATTCTAAATACACACAGTTCTTTAGAATAGCAGAAATCTTCCGTTAAATCTGAAGCCCTAAAATGAAGAGGAAATGCATTGAGAAAGAAATTGATTACATAAAGAAAATTATTCTTCAAAATTATATTGTTAAAGCATTAACAAATTAAGTGATGAAGCAGAAACTAATGGGAGCATTGACTTATTTATTGAAACAAATAAACGTAAAAAAGATGTTAACTGCTTGCCTGATTATCCCGAGTTATGTCGGGTTCGTATATATTGCAGTTAATTATTATCCCGAGAAAACTCGGGTGAAGCAGAATTTGTTAGTACGATTTCTTTTATCACGGTTTTACTCGGTCTGGAGGAACTGAAAGGAAATACTGAGCTTTGATTGGCAGTTTGCCAAATTTTGTTGGTTGCGCGGTTTTTTTGGAGGGACTGATCGCGTGTTTCCCTATTGTATAGTATACGTTGGCTTATGGATTAGTAATGTATAAAGAAGGATCCATGCGTTGGAAAAAAATACAATAATGGCGATGACGGAAGATAGCGAAAGCAATGATTTTTCAGATAGTGATTATGAAGAGGCGAGGGAAAAAAAAAAAAATTCAAATCCAACGAGATAGTGCACTCTGTGCTCCCGTGAAAGAGATTCCAGCGGTAAGCCAGTAAGAAAAGAGACCAGATACCAGTGTAGAACGTCAGGTATCGCTCTGTGTTGTCCCTTGTTTCAAAAACAATCAAACAAAGATTAATATTTAACTTTTTTTTGTTTGTCCGAGATAACTCGGGATAGTAAACTAATATTAAAAATAAATGCTTTTACACCTTCAAAAAATTAAAAATTCAACCTAAAACCTACATATTTTGATTTGTTTCGTTTTGTTGTATTTAATAATAAAATAAAAAAATGTGATGATTTTTTACAATTTTTTCAAAAAAATTTGTAAGGGAAGCCGTTAAAGAGAAGAAAATTTATGTAAATTAGCTAAAATATCTGGAAATATTTTAAATTAAAAGCATAAAATAAATATTTTGTTGTGAGTTGTTGCTGTGAAATACTATATATGTTTTGTAGCTTTTTATGTGTATTCTAATAGCGTTTTAGAATCAGTTATCATAAATTGCTCATGGAATTATGTTAAATACAGTCAAAAGTCATTAATTCGGACACCCATAATCCGGAATGATCTAAAATCCGGACCTCAAAGCTAAAATCTTTCTGCGCATGCACCGCGTTGCCGCATGCGCATAGGCGTTTTACGTGTGCACACAAGACATTTACGACTGCGCATATGCGTCTGCGCAAGTGCAGAATACGTTTTCGCGTGCGCGTTTAATGTATAACGGGCGGTATAAGCTAAAATTATCTAATTATCTATTTCAGTTAATGTTGATGATTGCATTGTTCCTTAATCTTCGAATTGGATCCGGCTTATTATTTTTTGCAGACTGTAAGAGCAGTTTTATAAAAGTAAGCTTGAACTTTCGATTATGTCAAATAGAATTTCCGATGCTGGAGCTCCCAAAGGATCTAGAAAACGAAAGTATGTTTCGATGTCCATCAAACAAAAAACGAATTGCTACAAAAAATGGATAAAGGCATGTCCTTTGTTTATCTAACCGTTCCGAAATCTGTTTATCAATTTCACGCTGCTCTGCGCGGGGGGGGGACGTCGCGGCGCACAATGAACTGGAAGTTGATCTGTCAACACTATCGTTATCTTCAGAGCAGATGTTTTTATTTTATTCAGCTTATAATTCCTTACTAAATGTAATATTTAATCTCGATGTACTCCGTCTTTGATATGATTTAAATTAAGTTCCTCGTCATTATAAATATCACGAATACAAATCAAATAGTTTTCTGGTTGCAATTTTCTAATTTCGGCTATGCGTAAGGTATGCTTTATGCATGCGTTGAAAGAAATGTTTTATAAAGTAAACAAATAAATATTAATCTTCTTTTTGGTAAATTTTGATACCCTTTAGATCATAATTGCTCATTATTTTATAAATTACGGTTTCATATTTTTAATTTTATAATTTCTGCATGCCATCTTATCAGGTTTAAACTGATGATCTATAATCCGGAAAAATCGATAATCCGGAATCGCCGAAGTCCCGACGAGACCGGATTAAAGACTTTTGACTGTATTAGATTATGTTAAGTAATAATGTATCCTACATACAGATTTATTTTATTCTTAGAATGGTGTTACAAAAGTGAATTTATTTCTCTTTGGTGATAGGTTTTTAATTTTTTTCATTAATGACCATTAAATCTCCTTAATTTCCATGTGCAGAAATGTGTACAAACCCTGGATAAGTTATAAATTTACAGTTCATTCGTCATTTTCAACATAAGGATATCCATATACATTATGGTAATTACTAAGGAATAATGTATGTGAAGATGATGATTAAAAATATTAGGTTGCTTTTGCAGTGGCCTCTTGAAATGAAAGACAGTTAACTAATGAGGTTTTTCAAAGTGACTTCTTTCAAAGAAGATGATATGACAAAAATGTGTGATCTAATCATCAACGGCCTTTGGCAAAATACTGGTATGTGTATCAAGAACATTAATAATGGTTGTTGACTTCATCCTTACCCCAAAAGACCTTATTTTTAAAACAGGTCCAGAGACAAAATCAAGCAGGTTTAAAATCTGGAGTGTATAGAAGTTAGTTGAAGGTTGTGTCTTTTGTCCTGAATGCCGAATAGATCACATGAAAAAGAATCATTGTTCCTTGAAGCAGTATTTTTACTTCTTTGTGGTACATATTACCAGGGGGGGAACAGAAACAGCTTTGTTAGCGTTATAAATTTGTACTAGAGATAACTTTTTGTTTCAGTGCATCACTATTAGCTGTAGCTTTTCTCCTGAAATTTTTAATTGCCTTATCGCATGGCGATTATTCGATTTGGCTACTCAACATCTAGAATATGTGCTCTTAGGTTTTTAAAACCCATTTCCTAATGAAATATTTTGGCTTGAGCCATTAGCATTGGACCCATCAGTGGCAGGCCTTTGTTGCAACAGTCTTACCCATTCAGTCACCACTTTTGGCCTCTTTTTTTAATATAACAAATGATTTTTCTGTTACTCATTGTGAATGGGTTGTCAGAATCAAATAAATAAATACAGTGGATGGACAAAAATATGGAAACACCTTGTGAAATGCATGTTTGAAAAGAAAGATTGATTTTAATGAAATATGTAGGTGGCGCTGGCATTTTTTATTACTGACGCCACCTATACAACTTCGTAAATGTGCTAAACAGTTCAGTTGTTGTCGGAGTACTGTTATGTGAGGTTGTCATTGCATTATGTCAGAGTTAACAGACTTCGAACGTGGGCAAATTGTTGGAGCACGTATGGTAGGTGCTTCCGTAAGCAAGGTAGCCGAGGTGTTTAGTGTTTCAAGAGGTACTGTATCGAGATTTATTTATTCCGCATATTTGAAAAGCGGAAAGACATCATCTGCTAAATCACAGCGCGGACGAAAGTGTGTCCTGAGTGATCGTGACAGACGATCATTAAGGGCAATTGTGACGAAAAATAAGAAGACCACAGTTGCAAAAGTTACTGCTGAAATGAATGTTGTGTTACCGAACCCTGTGAGTGCCAAAACAATTAGAAGGGAGCTTCATAAACAGGGAATTGCTGGCCGTGCTGCAATTGAGAAGCCACTCATCAGTGATGCAAATGCCCGTAACAGGAAAAGGTGGTGTTTAATTCATAAAGCCTGGACCAAAGAGCAGTGGAAGCGAGTAATATGGTCTGACGAGTCTTCTTTCACATTGTTTCCCACTTTTGGCCGAATTTACGTCTTGAGAACACCATCTCAAGCCTATAATACAGACTGCTTGTTGCCAAGAGTGAAACATGGCGGGGGTTCTGTTATGGTTTGGGCAGCCATATCGTGGTTCTCTGCTAGCCCCATGATAACTGTGTCCGGGCACATGACTGCCAAGACTTATGTGAACATTTTTGGCCGATCAAGTTCATCCCATGGTACAAACTTTGTTCCCGATGGTGATGGTGTCTTCCAAGACGACAAAGCCCCTGTTCACACAGCTCACATTGTCCAGGACTGGTTTTCTGAGCACGATCAGTTGTCCCATCTCCTCTGGCCACCACAGTCCACCAGACCTGAATATTATCGAACCTTTTGTGGTCTACATTGGAACGGAAAGTGCGTTCTCGGTTATCCACCGCCAACATCGTTTCTTATCTGAACTTGCCACCGTTTTGCAGGAGAATGGTATAACATTCCCTTGGCAAACATACAGGAACTGTATTTATTCATTCCGAGAAGACTGCAAGCTGTTTTGGATGCCAACGGGTTTCCTACACCATATTACGCAAAGAAACATGTTTTTTTAAAGGTGTTTCCATATTTTTGTCCAACCCCTGTAAATAAATAAAAACATATCTTTCTCTTTATGTCATACTGCTGAGTTTCTAATATCACACTCCTGGCAGTGTTTTGAGATGTATATGCCTTTAGCATTTTTTGCAGTATGTTTTTGCTTAGTGGATCCTGATGCAGAACGAGAATATATTTTCAACATAATCAAAAGTTTTTGTATTTTGTAAATATTGGTATTTAATTTTATTTTGCATAAGTATATGGTGCATTGCTAAGTTTATCTACAAAACAGTATATGGATTAATTATTAATTTTTTCATCATATTTGAAAGTACTTAAATAAAAGATTTGCTTCCTTATTAGGATTTTCTCATTGTAAAAGTGTAAGAAAATTACAAAATGTAATTAGTTAAAAGTCATAAAATTTAGAATATGTAACTAAACCTATGTTAGGTGCATAAATTTGTGTTGCATCTATTAAAATTTATTAAAGTCATCTATTAAAATATATCCAGAATACAGAAGATCATTTTTGTGATACTGCTGCATTACAAACACTAACAATTAGCTTTTAGCTACTGAAAGATGTGCCTGTAAAAATGAACACACAGTGTTGCAAACTTGCAAAAAATATCACCGGGGGCACCTGTCACACATGCCCTTAATCTAGGCTTAAATATTGTCTTTTACACCAAAACCACATTATAAATAAATTAATAACCCAAATCATGAATTATATAGTAAATTTATCACTTTGGAATTCTTTTAAAATGGCATTGCGTCACATCGTGGGAACTCCTGGTTTTTTGTATTTCAGGTTTTACAGCAATGATTGTGTGTGTATACTTGAAAAGTTATCTGAAAACATGCAAAAATTATTTGCTAGATCTACTTAGAATTTCGCATGTAAGAAGGCAGTAAATAAATCCTTGGGAACAGATGGAAAAGATTTGTATTCTAACAAAAGTGTTACTTAACTAGGAAGATCTATAATTATTTTTTTTTCAGTGAGATAATTTTTTTGAAAATTATGCTTTCTGTGTTGGTTTAGTTATTATGTATTGTACTGGTAGTTTTCTAATCCCTTTTCTATTCTATTCAAAACTGGAAAGGAATTTTACTTTGAATCAAATCTGCCAATATTTTCCTATCAAAGTTTAGTCCTTTTGAAGAAATACCAAACATATCAAATATGTTTATTGCTTTAAGTTTGTGCTAAAATGTAGGCACTGTTAACAATTGAGGGTACATAAGATTTTCATTTACGTTTAGTGTTATAAAAATTCATTGCTGAGTGCAAAATAATCATTTAAAAAGTTTTTTTTACTTGGGCTTTTTCTATAAAATGTTTTGCAACAAGTGTTATATTATATTATATGTGCCACTAATAAAACTAGTTTTTAATATCTTATAATTTGTCAATAGCAAAATTTCATTTATATTGTCATTTTCAGTTGCAAAATAGAATGCTTATGATGAAATTTTTTTGTAGCTTGTGGATTGCAGGTCCTGTTTTTATATTTCTGTTTCAATTTTTTTCTGAACTGGCATTAATAATGTTTTGATAGTTTCTATTTATGCCATTATTCCTTCACAGAGGTGCAGAAGGAGACTTTAAAATTGAAATTCAGTGAGATACTTTTATTCACTAGTAAAGACTGGGCTTTGTGAGATTGCTGTAGAAGATAGATTTAATAATAGTATCAAAATATATGTATGGTTTTTGTAGTTTTTTTAATAGTGTTTTTAATTTTTTTATGGTAAACTATTCTTTTGAAAGTGTAATCTGACATTCTCATGAAATTTTCAGTTATTTTAGATTTTTTTGATCTATTAAATGAATACACATTTTCCATAAACCTATTTTTAAGGATTTTCCCTTTTTTTATAGTAAGTTATTCCATGTGAGGCCAGTAACTCAAGGAGATGTAATCCGTGCTGATGCCAAAGATATACCTCGAATTTTTCAGGTGACTGTTATTTTGTACTCTTTTGCTGTAAGTCTCTCAAAATTTTAAGAATCATTTGCATACTGTTTGTGATATCATTTTCCATTGCTGGAAATTTAAATAAATAATTTGGAATAACAGGCCAGTTTGTATAAATGCAAAAAATACCTACCTGTAGTCATCACAGCCATAAATGATGCTGTTTGAATTATATTAGGACATGCAGTACTTAGTAGCAGCGTTTCTTATGGAAGCTTATTTTTTTATCAGTTATCTGGTGCTTTTCATCTTTTTAATTTGTTTAATCACTATTTGCAAGTCTATCTAGTTTTTATACCTGTTAGTGAAATTCTGAAGAAAATAACCGTATTTGAAAATCAGAACAATAAATTGGCTGAGTGCTTATTTATTTAGTGTGTTTATACTCTTATTAGTCTAGAATGAACATTTTGATTTCATATTATTGACTCTCTTGTGTAAAGTACATGCGAGAAATGGCTTTCTATGGTATATAGAAAGAAGATAAACTAGTTACTTAGTGAATGAAATAAAAGTGTAGCTGAACTGAAATATTATTTCAATGTGTGATATTTAGACTATTAAACTTTTAATGCTTATATTTAAGTAATTCCAGATTTAGAATTATCTCCCACCCCAAAAGTTAAGCAGCAGATTTTTTATTATTATTAAAGTTAGCTTATAAAACAGCGTGTCACGAAGTGGATTAATAGAAAGTTCTGCGGTATTGCATATAGTCGCCAGCACAAGCTCCATAACATTGTATAATGTCTATCAACATAGTTGGGTATAATGACCATTCTTCTCTCAACTCATTGAGTGCTAGCATAAAAATATTAAAAATTGTTTTTGGTCACTGTTATTTTTTTTTTTTTTTTTTTGAGTAACGTATCATAAATGCTCCCAATACATTTTTAAAACATGTTTTATTTATATCAGTTTTTTAGGCCATAATTTGTATTCTTTTGGATACATAGGGAGAAAATAATCTGTTCTGTCAACCAAAGTTTTATCTACTGAACTACCTAAAAACATTATTTCAATCAAATTTACATAAAATTGTTTCCATTAGAATACATGCAGCTAAATACAAATGTTTATCACAGTATCCAAAGAAATACAAATGGTCTGCTAGCAATTAATACGAGAGACCAGAAGCACAATTAATTCAAGCATTACTGTCTTGCAAGGAGAGTTCATGAATTGCCCTTGCAAAACAATATACATAGAGTTAAAGTATTTTGTCTCTGTACTTTTCAGCATTTCAGGTCTTTTAGTAAAAAGAAATTGAAAATTTTTTTTCCAAATTAAAATTCCTGACTGAACTTTTATTGAAAGAAAATGAAAATTTTATGTTGTTATTATCAATAATTAATGAATGTTTTGAATTAATTAGCTGTTTTGAAGTGAACTGCATGAATTTGTGCTTTTTTCTAGTTACTGTATGCCGGAGAAGGTGAAAGTCGAAAACCAGATAATGTTCATTTGGAATTGCAGTTACCAAAAGATGTAAGTTCTTGCATGTAGATCAGTTGCTAACCCCTTTTATGATCTTCCCATTTTAAATATTTATTTCACTTAAAAATTTCAGAATTTATTATTTTGGTCACAGGGAATTAATAATTCATTTAAATCAAATAATTTAATCTTTTGGTGGATTAAATAATTTGCATTATTCATATGGATATGCTAAAATATCTGCTGGTATGGAAGGAAGTGACCCAGTAATGATGTAAGATTGGAGAAATTTGTATGTATATTTATAATTTCAGTGTGATGTATGTGTACTTCTGTGTTTGAAAACAGGGCTTACATTCACTTAAAAGTCAGAAATCAGATTTTTTTCATAAACTTGGCGGGTGTGTATAGATAAGTCTTTCAAATCTGGAATTTTCAACCTTTTTGTGACGTTGCCCCCTTCTAAACGAATTGTCTCATCATTGACCCTTTACATTTTTCTTTGTGACGTACAGCTTAATTATATTATATGTGTTATTACTTTTTACAAACATAAACAAGTTTTTAGAAGCAAAATCAGATTCTTATTACACAGTAGTTTGATTTTAATTAATCGGAGGGCTACACTTGAAGTACTGATGCAACTTTTTTACTATTTGGCATGAAATTACTTAATTTTTAAATCACCTCATTAAAAATATTCGATCTGTTTCTTCTTGATTTCCATTGTAAATTATTGTTTTTAATAAAGCCTTCTTGTAGTAGGAAAGAAGAGAGGAAAACCAATAATGTTGGTTCATTAACAACTTTTATATTGGGATAGTTTTTTTTTTTTTTGATTACATTTAAAATTCCAAAATTTACCAAATCAATGTGTTTTGAGTTAGACTTGTGCTGAAACATCCTCCTTCAATATAATTAACTCTTCTTGCATCATAATAGCAAGATCAAATGTATCTCAATTTGGCAGTTCTGTTAACCATGCAGATTTTCAGTCTCCTGGAACAAATATTAAAATCTTTTGAATTTTGAAAGTGGCTGTTATATAACAATACATCTTCTGAGGAAGTTTTGCATTCTTCCTATTTTTATCTTCTGTGTTTTCTTTCTTTATATTTATTGTTGCACTTATTGCATAAAATATGTATATTACTAAAACATTTCCTATATGCATGCCACGAACTAGGTCTTTTAAGTCATAGTCAGACTGAATTGAATCCAAATGTGCAAATCATCAACTGTATTTTAGCTTTGTGACACAGTTAACTAAAGCTCATCTAGGTTTCCTACTTCTCAAAAAGAATAAAAAGCTGGCTCATGTCAGCAGGTCTTGCATGCAAAAATATGTGGTGAACCTAGCTCATTCATGCTTTGGTAGAAACACATATTTTTACTGTGAATAAACAGAAGAAATTTATCTGAGGAATTTTCAGACCATTTTATCCATGAGCTGATAAATGACACAATTTTAAAATCTGTGAAGAAATTTTTGCCATCAGAAAGGCTGTTATTTCAGTTACAAAACAGCCAATATTATAATAAAATCAGGAGAAAACCATTAAACCTGGTGGTGTGCTGTAACAAACTTGGAAGTTTTTGTGGCCATGAGTAGCACATTAGTTGTCCTTAAACCATTAGTGACAGAAACATGTTGCAATATAATTTTTTAGCATTTACTGGATTTCCATATTTAATTTCTAGTATTTAAGAAAAAGTAGTAGTACAAGTATAAATTTATCATTTTTCTTGGAGATTTAAGCTGGTGTAGAGTGGCACCGATGTTGAACAATTGAAATTACTGCTGCCTCATCTTCTAGATTATTGATGAACTTAGCATTATTTTTAGTTCAGCTGTGTGAGAAAACATTTGCTGTTGTGTCTGTCTACAATAAAGTGTTTTCATGGTTTTTTTGAATGATTTTGTCATCATGAACTGTACAAAGCATCCTGCATCGGGTAGATATCAACCCTGAATTCAATTTTGTTTTTCACTTTTAAACTGCTAGTAATTTAATAACAAAATAAATATCTTAAATATTAATATAAATATTTGTAATTTTCTTTTGCCTCAATCAATACATATATTACCTTCTAACCTCAGTGAGATATTGGGCTTGTTTCTGTTAACACAACATTTTTATATCTGGGTCTGTGGTCAAAAGAGCTACATGCAGCTCATGATCAATTTTTCAGTGATGATCTCTTCAAATTCTTGACAGTAAGCATAAATATTCACTCATGTATATCATAGCAATTAATAAAAGGATGTTAACAACTGTTTTACCAATGGATGGGAATTTTGTTATTCTAGTTACATCTAAGTGAGGTAATGAAGTATCATCGAGGGTATTGTCACTTCGTAAGTTTCTTCACATAAACGGAATGTCCTATGATCTAATGAAGATGCAAATGGATTTTGAATCTAATCAATATGTCTTCATTAAAAGTTGGTGATGAAGCCTTCATTCAAGCAGGCCTTAGCATTGATGTGTGGGTTTTCGTAGTACATTTTTAGAATTTGACCTTCAACATTGATTAAACATTTCAAAGGAACCATTTTTCAGCACATTTTATAAAGTTGAATTTTGCTTTTGAATGCATAAATTTTTTTGGGTGCAATCAAATATATCATCAAGTGGTCCTTTCATTTTTTGATTAAGTTCCATTTAGGTATTAAAATATGTCAGCTAAGTAGGTTTTTTTTTTTTAAACCAGTGATTGACTTTTAACTTAGTTAAATATTGAGAATTACTGTTCAAATTTTAATTCTTTCAGTTTTTTTTTTAACTGCCAGCCAACTTCAGTATGAAACAATAAAGACAGATGCTCTGATCTGATTTCATCACTTAAAAGAGCACGATTGAAGTGGTCTACTTTTGGACAACATACACTATTTATATAATGTCATTAAATGTTGATTTTAATTCTTGTAGTAAACTATTTGAAATCAGAACTTCTGTATAAGCAAAGCATTTTATTATTTCAGCAATAGGATTTTCAGACTAGACTTGAGATGTTCCTGGCATTGCAGCTATGCCACCAGTACATAATTTTCCTTTTTTTTTTTTTTTTTTGTGTGTGTGTGTGTGTGTGTGTGTGTTTATCAGAAATTTCATTGATCATTTCGGCCATCTTGTCCAGTGCTATTGCTTCATAATTGAAACTTTGTAATTAAATATTTTGTGATTAGTGTGCCACAGCTCATCAGTTGGGAAGCACTGCCAGAACTACCAGTCGGGATTTTTAGGTTATGTGCACAAGGTATTTATATATGGACAAACAAAGAAACTTTGTTGTAATCATATTTGTCTGGCCGTTATGTATCTGTCTGTGAGAAAATTTTATTTATTTATTTATTTATGATTTATTATTATTATTATTATTATTATTTTGAAATTTTTTTGCAGAACTTATCATAGATAGGAATAGATTTAAAATGTTAGCATGTCCAAAATAATAAGTGTACTCTGAAAAAGTATGTAAATGCTTAGTAATTTTGAATTTGTTATGTATTTTTAGCAATATCTTATCACTTTAAGCATTTTAGGCTGAAGACATTTTTTAGCTATGCATAGAACACAAGTGGTTTTTTTGATTCGAAATGAAATATGTTTTTATTGGATAATAATTCATACATTTGTCTCTTGCTATAATGACCATTCCATTAGCGACTATAATACAAAAAGTTCACAATGGATGAGAGTATCTATTTTCTAAACCTGTTTTCATTGTAACAATAATCAATTGTTTACTTCCTTTATATCTTTAATATTAGCTTCTTTATAGAACTAGCTGCTGTGCATGTTATGTGTAGAGATGCAGATTGATTTAGAGCACTTGCTCAGAGGAGATACTCAGTAATCATCCTATGGACCTTCTTTGAGTAGCTGCTCTGTTTTAGTCACTGCCATATGGATTGTTGGCAGGTGAAGCATTCATATAGCAATGCGTAATTTTTGCAATCCATATAGGGAGTAATGCAGCATGCTTTTTAGTACTGTCGAAGAGCAAGCAACTTGTGCCACTTAAATGTTCCATTTCTACACATACAATCCGTTACAAAATGTGCTTATTTTGATCACTATCTGCCTTAAATTTTTTTTTGATTCAATCTGTATATACAATAGCAATGTACAGTAGTATGTACATTGTGGGGGGGAAAATAAAAAAAGAGGGGACAGTTCTATAACTCCCTTCTAGTGGACCGATTGACGAAATTCAACTTGCATTTTTTATGTCTCAAAAGCGTGACTTAGGATATGTATAGCATATATATATAGCATTGTTCTAATACAGATATTTTGACACAAAATTGGACTTTTTCTGAAATGATATGCCACTTTTTTTTTCCATATTTTGATTCTACAATTCAAACTATGGCAAACTGTCAAGTTTTGTAAAAATAGCACAAGTACTTTTTTGAAAGTATAAACAATGACTTTTTTCTACTCTTGGACAATGAAGTAAAAGGAAAGGAAAATAGGTTACTAAAAATTAAGAAGTTTGCCAAGTGAATTATTCTTGGTGCAAACTGGAAAAAGTTCGCCAAGGTAAATTTAAAAATTTCTCACCAAAAATTTAAACAATTAATATCTGACCATAATTTGAGGCATAGAATTCTCAATTATGGAAAAAAATTGGTATGTTATTTCAGAAAAAGTCTGATTTTGTGTCAAAATACCTATGTTACTACAAAGCTATATATAAATCTAGTGTATTTACTAAGTCGTGCCTTCGAGATATGGAAAATGCAATTTGAATTTCATCAATCGGCTTAATAGAGAAGGAGATATAGAACTGTCCTTTTTTTTGTGTGTGTGTATGCAGTGTACCTACAGTAGCAATGTAAAAGCAATAATGATGATATATATAGGCAACTCCATCAGTGGCCAAGTTTATAAGACTACTGAATACTAGGAAATTGACCTGGTGTCAATACCAGGACTTGCTGCATGGTTGGTTTTCATGGTTTCTCCCATGTGTGAAGTGAATATGAGCCACTTAGAAAATTATATACAATGGCATCCCTCCTGTTAGGCAAATAACCCTCATATGCTTTGCGATATTCAAATAGAAGAAGTTAAATAAAATTCACTACCTCATGGAAAGCAAGTAAATAGAAATGAAAAATTTCATAATAAAATAAAAATGAAACATTCTCTATCATTTAAAAAAATAGTAAAGAAAGTTGAATAGAAAAAGATTTTGGTATGCTTTTTGTTTCCACAAGGAGCAGCCTAAAAGCATTCACAATCAAAATTACATTTCTTATTTCAGTCCTAGATAAATTTTCCTTAATATCAGCAGTAAGAAAATGGCATGGTTGAAGTGAACAAGAAAATGCCAGCCAAATTAAAAAAATTTCCAAAAATCATTAGAGCCTGAAAATAATGAGAAATGAAACCGAAGAGTATGTGTTTACAATTGAATTAAAAAGTTGAAATACAAAATAAAGTTAGTGCAAAAAATCAAATCCATTGTATACCTGAAAAATGCCAGCAAATCTTGCATATAATAAGATTTACAAACTTAACAGAAATATGCAATTAATCGTGAAGTTGTGATTAGAATTAACCAAAACAGGAATAAAAGCAATTAAAAAAATAAGAGTAAAGAACTATATAATTAAGAATTAGATTGTATATATGTAAATATGTCACCTTCTGATATCTCTTTTGCTTAAATAGATCAGTCTATTTTTTCAAAGTCTTAAGGCAGCCAGGTAATGTAAATGACTCTTTAACTCACCTGTCCCTTTTCCTGACTTTGCCTGCTACCACTTACCAAAAAATGAAAATATTGCGAGACCATTTCATACTTCAGCTAGTAACTTTTTACCAATTTAACCATTGATTTTTATGGCACTAGTTTTGTTCTTTTTAACCTTAATTTACCAGCTGTATAAAAAATATTTGGCAGGGCAAATTTTGGTTGTTAGTAGAATAAACTAATTTTGTTAAAATTGTTTTCATGTTACTGATTTCCATTGATGTATTCTAGTTTTTGCACCAATAATTTTAAAATATCTGTATGTTCTAAGTTTATGTTCACAACTCTTAAATTTTAAACCAGCCATCATAGTTATATCATTGTGCTATGCCCCTCAAATTGGAAACCCTCGGATTTAGTGTATAGCAAGTTTCCTTCCTCTTCAGTTTTCTTTATTGATTTATTCATGCTTTTGTTGATTATTGCTCAGTTCTGCAGTAGTTGACCACCTAATTGAAAGCATGGTCACAAGGTGTAAACTTTGTATACAGATGAGGGGGGATCACATACCCTATGAATGTCCTTTTTTTCATTTTATGCTGTTTATTTTCACTTTATACATAATTCTTTTTAAGTCTCCAATATGTCATTATTTGATAACTTGCAAAAATTTAATATTGTTTTCACTTCTGTATATAATTATTAATTTTGTTTTATGCATAAATATATATGCTACTTTCCTACCAAATTTTGTGTCAATCAATGCAGTATTTGTTGATTTTTTTCATTTTACATCTTCGTGCTTAACTTTTGGAAGTGAGTGTATAATGTGCATGTAGGAAAGCAGGCATGCATAATTAATTGTACGTATTTGTACTTTCCATTATGCCAAAGTATAAACTGAAGAAAAGTAACTCTGAAACTGCCTGGTATAGACAAAAACATGCTTTTACAACATGAAAGAGCAAATAAGCAGAAATTATCTTTTGTTTCAATGCTTACAGGAAATGTGAATCAGTAGAAAAAGTATTTATCTGAGATATCATGGCTATATGCTAATTTGGAGTTTGTGTACCCTGTGCAGCATCTTATTTTTTTGTGCATTTTGCATACATTTGCATAAAGTACTGAAATACATGTATTAGGCAGAATGTTTTTCTAGCAAAATATGAACCTTTGATGAACTCAAATTATTTTATTTATTTATTTATATTTTTATTGTAATCAAACTAAATCTGTTCTAATTTACAGTTAATGCAACCTGGAATGCTTGAACATAAAGGGCATGACTTTGTTTCAATAAATTTTCATATGCCAACCACTTGTGAAGTTTGTCCGAGGCCAATGTGGCACATGTTCAGGCCGCCACCCGCTTTGGAATGCAGAAGTGAGCTATAGTTCCTTTTTGTTTAGTTGAGCAAATTTTTGTTTAATATATCTTAGTTATGTACTTTGCGCATGTTTTTCTATTTTTTACTGTTAATTTATGCAAATTGCTGTGCAAATTCTAATGTCTGAAGATGATTGTGTGTGTAAAGTTTATAATATGAATAGTTGTTCTGGATGGGAAATAATTTTAAACTGCTCTTAACCAAAAATATATTTAGAATCAGAAATAATTTTAGATAATGGCATTAGTTCATAGTATTGTTCTGTATATTGAGTTTATACTATGTCACATAGCTATCTAGTTGTGAATACAATTTCAGTTTATCTGGGGGGGGGAAGTAAATATTGGATTGCATAAGTATTATTTAAAATCACAAAAAAATGAAAAGGAAAATATAATTTTTTTAGTATTAAAAATTATAATAGCAAAGTGCATAATAATGCTATGAAAACGTGTATTGCAAGTGATTGGTATATAAAATTTCATATGTATTTGAATCATGCTTAGATTAAATATTATTAAAATTGTGTAATTAAATTCTGACTGTTCTGTCAGTGTAAGTTTAGTTTTACCTCTTGTGTTCTGAATTGTGCAGTTCCACTTCCAATTAACTATATGACATGTATCTATTTTTCTCCTTCCTCCTTTCCCAGAATGTCGTATTAAAGTGCATAAAGATCATCTAGAGAAAAAGGAAGAATTAATTGCACCTTGTAAAGTTAACTATGATCCTAATTCTGCAAGAGAACTGCTATTATTAGCAAACTCTGTTGAAGAACAACAAATGTGGGTGTCTCGACTTCGGAAAAAAATTGAGAAGTGTGGCTATGCTGCTCAACAGGAAGCTAGAGGAGGTTCACCAAGGTAAAATCGTGGTTTTCTGTTAAAGGTATCCAGTTGCATATTTTTCTTCATGAAAATTATATTTTTTTGCAATGAAATTTTTGTTTGACTGACAATACTGTCTGCTGAATGCATATTCATTTATTAATCATTGTATTTTTTGTTAAGATTAAATATTAATTATGATTTATTGTTTTAGGGCATCTATGCGCTCAATAAATAAATATCAACCTCAGAAATCTGCAACACTGCCAGCTAGTGTCCTCTCTAGTGCCATGCGAAAATAGTAATGTTATGTATTTGTATATGATGTATTTAAGAAAGTTTAAGTTTTTATGAGAAAATTCCTTGTTGGTGAGAAATTTTTATTCATATTAAGAGATACATGTAATATTTTTATGGATATTGTAGCAAGATTAAATTGTGATTTACTCTTAATTTAGATCTGAACTTTCTGCAAGTCGAAGATTTTCTAGCACTGATTGAAAATTCTTGTATCAAAAAACAGACTTCAGATTGTTTTATTCATAATATTTTTTTTCTCATTATAGTGATATTATATTCAGAACTGTCATGTCCTTTTTGTTTAGAATTTTCATGAACCATGTAAGCAGAAAATAATGCAAATATGAAGTATAGAACTCTGATCTGAGATTTTATTATTTCATTTTGTTAGATTTACGATTGCATAAGCTATTTTAATTCATGCACAAAACTTTCAAGAGCAGCTGAAACAACAGTTCCAGCTGTTTCTTAGGTGTATTAAATGACCTTAAGCAAGTTGTAAATATGTGATCTAACCGTGAAAGATTTCAGTCGTTTTGCATTTTCTGTGTATCAAATTTCATCATGTCCATTCATTTCTAGCAAGTGATCTCAAATTCCTCTTGTCAATTAAACTGGCATGGTTCTTTCGTGACAGCAAAAATTATTTTGAATTCAAATATTCAATACCGTCCAATATTGCTTCAGTCTAGAGACATTGTTTAACTGCTTTTCAGAAATGTTCAAACCTAGAACCTCATATCTAATCATTGTTTCTTTTTTCTACCTCCAAAATGTTAAAATATATTACTTAAATGTTTTGTTTCATTGCTGAGGAGCACTTAAGCTAATTAGTAGCATTGTTTTACTGATAAAATCTTTTAATATTAAATGCATTTTTGAGTTGTTTCTCTTGGGACCATTTTCTCCCATCTTTATTCACAAATATTTGTGTAATTGTTTATATGGAATTGAAATACCTTTCAGTGCAAGAATTTTCTAAATAATAAATTTTGTGTTGCTAAACTAGTGCCAGTTCAAAAGACACAAATGTTTTAAATTTGTAGATGCATATTATTATAAGTTTATTTTGAAGTATTTATTCATATGATTTTTGTCATTACAGAGTTTAAAATATATTAGTAAGTAGTGTCTAAAATAAATTATTTTGAATCCCTCTTTTTGTATTTAAAGTTTACTGTGGAACTGCATATTTTACACCATGAAACAAAACTAAAAGTAAATAAGGAAATAAAAAAAATTTTTTTTAAAGATAAATACTGAAATGCTGACATAATTTTTTGTAGGTGTTAAATTTCTATCTCGATTGAAAATGAAATTTTCATTTTAAAACATACTTTTACTTGACAGTTGTATGTTAGTTACATAAAAGTACATTCCAGTCTTTTATTGTGCTTGGCCGAATAATGTAGAAATGAGCTTTGAACCGTTAATATATTGATTCTACTTCGATTTCTTGAAAATTTTTCGGGATGCATTTTGTGTTAGGAAAATCAGTTATAAATATTGTGCCGTTTTGAAATTTTATGCATAAATAAATTTCTAGCTTTTAATTTTGCAGTCTTTAATAATTTGTATCTTCTAAGCTAATATATTATTACAGGAGGATAAATAAAGAATCCTGACATATATATATATATATAACAAATTTTAGCATTTGAATCCTTTAGCAGGAGTTTGTAGGAGAGCTTAATTGTAGTTGTAATTTAAATTTTTAAGTGACATAATGTGGTATAGAAAAATATGCAGTTAACTATTGATTAATTCTAAATTGCAGCTGTGTTTTATCATCACTAGAGCTTGGTTAGTAATTAATTCATTATTATTATTATTGGGGTTTTATCACAGCTTCTGATATGATTTGTCTGTAGTGATTGTTATTGTATATGGTATCTATTCTTATTTCCTTTAGTTTGACATTTGTGTATAAATTTTTTTTATCTAAACTTAAATCACTGAGCTATTCAAAACTGTATCCCATGAAGGGTAAAATGTTACTTTTGCTATACATATAACTCCATTTAGAGAACATTCAGTTCATGAGGCACTCAGTTTAATAAAAGGTAGAACTCATCTTATTTACCGTACATTGTTCCAGTTAGAATTTTTATCATTCCCTTTTTTGCTAGCATCATGGCATAATGCTGTTTTCTGTGATAACCATGCATGTTCTCTTTGTGCTTTAAATAATGAAATGTATATAGAAGTTTATAAAGCTTAAAATGTTACATAGTATACTGTTGTTTCTAAATGCTATTGAAGGTATATTTTCCTTAAATCATGTTCTTGTGAAAGAAATTAATATGCTTCCCAGTTTAATTCAAATCATTTTTGCAAGGGTTGCATAGTCTACTTCTAATATGGAACTAACTGTTTTCATAATGTCAGATGTTTCAATATCTAGATTCTTAAATTGTTGGGAATATGTCTACATCATATTTGTCAAAGTGCTTGGATATTAAGTTATGATGTTCTTTGTTTACTGTTATACGTTTGTTAATGTTATTTTCTTGCTAATGTTGCTTTGTTCACACTTTGCTGTGGTATACTAATATATGTTTTTAAATGGCCTTACTTCAGATTACTTTGATATTAATGTCTACATAGTAGACATTAGTACCACAAGATCAAATATTCTATTCCTATATTTTTATAATAAGAAATGAATTAAAAGGCCTCAGATTGTATAGTAATAATTAAAGAAGCATATCTGTAGCTGTAGTTAAAACTATTAAGACATGCCAAAGTTATATCTTGATCATTCAGTATTCTTTAGAGTATCTATTTATTGTAATTAGTGGAACTTTATGCTTTAAAGTGCGATTAGTGAAATAATTGATTATGAAATATGTATATTATTGAAATAATAGGTATTTGTGTGGGACTGGAAAATTTTAATAATTTGTTATTAATCTTCAGTGCAGGACTTTATGTATTTTGTGATGCATTTGGTAAGTAACAAGAAAGTTCTTTTAACCTTGAATTCTTAATTTTACAGAAAAAATATGCATATATGAATCTGTTCATTAAGAAATGCATAGTAGCAAAAGAAGGAGTTGCTAATAATGTATAGAAAATAAAATAAGGTTAAAAAATATTAAGTAGAAGAATTTTGATTGTCAGTGGTGAACTTTCTAAAAAATATGATCCCTAGTAGAAAAATCTTTAGACTTTGATCATCATCATCTATCCGACGAATTTCTAAAATTTTGTGATAATCAATATTTCTTTAGTAAATAAATTATTATATATATGTATATACACACCTTGTTACTTCTTTATTCATTGTTTTGGAACTTTTATTGCAAGAAACGGTCAACTTAGTGACATTCCAAATTTGAAAGCTTCCAAGTAATGCTGTATCAAATCTTATGTTTTTTACATTTTAACTGTTTATGTATAAATATTAGGAGCTAATTCTTTTATCGTTAGATGGTATTTAGATGAGTAGATTTATATATATATATATTTTTTTCAGAAAAGTTTAAAGTTCAAGGTTAGAAGACTTCCCTTGTGAGAAAACTATTTTGCTTTGTACCTAATGCAAAGCTGTAAAAATTATTTTAATCTTTAAAAAAAAAAAAAAAAAAAAAAGGGGCATATAAAGGGTCATTCTGTAGGTTACTGACAAACTTCTGTGTTTAGAAAGATGGGAATAATAAGCATCTTAGGTAATTGGGCTTGTGAGTTTGCATAGCATTGTCAATACAAGCCTTTATGTATAAGAGACTAATCGTGTAATGAAAAGTGACATGGATTGGTTGTGATTGATTATGATTTCCTAATTAATTTTTATAACACTTTCAGTTTCACTAGTTCTTGGTGGTGGTGCGTGGATGGTTATGTTTCATTCTTACGGTAATAAGCTCTGCCTCTTTATATTCTGCAATTACTTCCACACTCGTTCTTGCTTGAACCTATTTAGAATTATTTTTAAATAACAAGTTTCTGTTGGGATTTCTAAATGTTCTTTAGTTTGTCACTACCCTCAAAATTCACCCTTTGAATGTACATGTCATTGACTATAAAAGGAATTTATTAAAAGTATATTTTGAGGTGTTTATTGTATTTGTTAAGGAAAACTAATTCAAATATTTAATTCCTATTGCCTTGAAAAACTACAAGAATTTCTAGGTAAAATTAAACAAGTAAGCAGTGGGGCATATATGAGTAAGGTAATTTCTTTTATAAATTTAAATCGAATTTTTTTAAATTTGCACTTATGGTATGTTTATATGCTTCAATGCAGTTGTCAGTTTCAAAATTGTTACTGAAATAAATTTTTTATACTCATAAAATATTTATCATTGATTATAAGGCAGGTTTTCAGAAAATTGTATAATTTTTAAATATGACTCTTTTTAAATACTTACATCTGTTATTTGAGTGAAATCTATCATTTGCTAATGTTTATCTACATTTATGAAGAGCTGCAATATTGAGTTTATATAAAAAAGACAGTGGAAAGTTTTTTTCTACGAGTAATTTTATTGAGAATTAATGAGGAACCATTCATGTGGATTTATGTTAGTCTTGAATTTTTTTTTAGCTTCTAGATGTCAATGTTTGTATATTAAAATTGGAATATTTTTTGGTACAAAATATACTCATTTTTTTATATCATGATCTTTTTTCCATGCAGTGTTTCACTGCGCATTTATGTTTTTAATCATCTTGTGATGCTCTCAGTTTGTAACGAATTTAAACTGGAAGCAGACCAGTCTAATGTTATATTGGGCCACTGACGTATAATCTTTGGTTTCATATTTGTACTTTATATTTTACCTGTGCATGCGAAATTGGAAGCTGAGCTATGTTTTAATAATTTCCTTCCTTTCTTTGAAAACTATGTTAATTTTTTAATTTTCTTTTCTTTCCATCATGCAGGCTTTACTTGTTGTTTTTTATTATGAATGCCCAATTTTTTAAAATTCTTTTAGAGAACTCTTTTTTTATTCAAAGTGCCAATATCATGAATATGTGTGTGAGGTGGTTACTTATCCCTTGTTATCCTTCATTGTGTTCCAAAAAAGTACAGATGAGGAATGCAAATGAATATATTTTGTGATTCAAATACTAATGACATTAATGATAAATGCCATTTGAAATGACCACTTATCTGCAGATATTTTAAAGTGTTAAAACTGTAATGTTTTAAAAGTATTCTGTGATGTTCTAAAATTTGGTGGTGTTTTAACCGTTGAGTAATATTTAAGACCTCAGAATCTTATTCTAATTTTTATTGAAATTCTAGTGTTTGAGTTTCTTGCTGATTAGATTTTCATACAGAAATGTGTTGTCTGTCCTTAGATTATTTTTCCTTTGTAATTGTTGTTTGTAAAAACATTTCTTATTCTTCGTGCATCTATACTACATACATGTAAAACATACAGTGTATAAACTAAGTGATATTTATTTGTGATGGATGTTATACCTCTCAGGTGTAAATTAAGTGTGTGGTATGTTTGTAAAAATACTCATTTACATAACTTAAAAGTAGCACAAATTTGCTAATTAGATTTTAGATTCAGAAATTTAAAATTTCTGTGATTACAATGTAGGTGCATAACCCTCTGAGTGGCTGAACCGCCTTTATCCCATCATGAGAATTTTTGCCACTTGGTAATATATTAGCTTATAATTTAAAATATTTTGCTTTCTTACTTTCCTTAATGGTGTAAATATCATCTTATTGAATGGAAGTTTATGAAAACGTAAATATAAGTAATACAAATAAAGCTAATAAATGCTGTTTAATTACAGGTCTACATAAGCAGATTAAAAAAATTGTACCACTCAGAGGGTTACTATATAGAGTTATTGTGTGTTACTTGCAAAATATGAATTGTAAGCTATAATGCATCAGAATATGTGTCTCGTCGATGTCTCTCTTAAAAAAAAAATAGTGAAAATTTGGTATGGCAGTTTAGAAGCCAATTTTTAGTTGTAAATATAGTTAAATCCTAATTTTAAAGCATATGCTCATATTAAATGTGAGACTTATTTTCAAAAAAGGAAGGCCCTACCTTTGGTTGCTTAGATGTATTTATCATATGAATTTTGACTGCTAAAAAATATGTTACTTTAAATGAGTTTTTTTCCAAATGAATATTAAAAAGGGAAAAAAAAAAAAAATAGAAAAGCTTTAAATTATAGTTGAAGGAATTTTTTTGTTTTTAAGTATTAATATAAGAATATTTACTGCTTTCATACTGAATGTAATTTTTATTCACTGTAGGAATATCAACCAGTAACCTTCTGGAACATTAGCATTGTGATTTTGTTTTTTGTCTGGTGAGCGTTGAGGAAAGCATGAAATACTATTCAGTAATCATTAGATTTATGCCGGTAGAACTAAATTCTTAAAGTTTACACCTGTGTATATCTGTCATGATCAGATTTATGAAATCAGCATTTACTAAGTATTTAAAGTGTTATGCATTAATTGGTAACCCTTTTTTGGGGGGGCAGGAGAAAATACATTATTCATTTATTTTACAGAATACCTGCTTTTTATTTTGCCATTAAATGTAGGCTTTTATATTAATTGAAATTTCCAGTTTCCTTAATTGTTCGTATTATGTTCTTGAGTGTTTTATCTTCCTTTTCATCAGCTGTTTTCTTTTTTCTTAAATTTAACGTCTGAATTTGGATGTTGAGAAATTACTGAACTTGCAAAGCATAAAATTTTCTTTAAAATCGTTATTGTCTTACATTTTCGTGGTGTGAGATCATCTTCCAAATTCAGTTTTAATATTCAAAGACTTCATTTCTGTGTATTTAAATATAAGCAGGATTATATACATAATTTATATGCAACGAAATAAGTTCATGATGCTGTTCTGCCATTTCAATAGTTTGACTGTGTGCCCATATTAATCATTTTTTATATTAAAATAATGTAAAATGTGCAGGTATGTTTAGCATATTTTAATGTGTATAGAAGTATATTTAGGGTGTTTTAACTACATGGATTTCTTTATGTGTTGAAGTCTAAATCATTTGCATCCATGTTTTTAAGAAATGCGTAAATTAATGATATCTGCATTCATTTACAGCGAGGAGAAATGCTTTTAGTTCTGCCACTGTTTTGAAAAAAGTAACTAGCTGAACACACACACATACATGTATAATTGTAAATAATTGGTTTTTATTTTTTAGTCCTTGTAAGTAACTGGGATGAAACTTTAACTTACAGAAATGATTGTACTTCCCAATATTGCATACAGGACATTATCTCAAAGTTATCTATTATAGACCCTCTTAAGGGGGGGAATTTCAGATCCCCCAATAAAAAAATATGTGGTAGACATTCTGAAAAATGAAATTAATTCATATATTTTTAAAAAAGCTTCAGTTTGTATTAAATTTAAGCAAAATTTTATTTGTTTTGAAATATTTTATTTGAGTGATCTCAGATTTGTAAATTAAAATTTTTATATTGTTTAGGATATACAAAACTTGGTGTATGCAATAAAGGGGAAAAAAAAATAAATAAAAATAAAAAAATAGTGCCCTCATTCATCTGCTTAAAATTTATAAAATGCTTAAAAATATTTTTTTTTTTTTTTCGTTTAGAAACAACATTATAGAATCGAATCAATTTGGCTTTCAATTTAAAAATCATAGTTGAAATGGTAAAATTATCGGAAATTTATCTTTTTGGCTTAAATAAAAGGAAGCCAAAATTGGATGAATATTGTACCAAATTATGTATATAAAAAATTGTGAAGATAATGAACAAAGAAGCTAAATTTAATAGGGCAGAGAGGCTGCTGCTTCTCAGAAATTAAGAGGAGTCTTTGTTTCTCCCACTTTCATCTGCTTTGTACTATCATATTATTACATCCATTATATCTTTTTCTGCTTGTAACACTACTGGTAGGATTATTAGCTCTTCAAATATTTTAATGGCTAGTTTGTTAGAAGGAATATTAATAGATATTATCCACGAACACTAGTTTTTTTCTCCTGAGGTCATAACAACAAATTCTTATGCTCTGGAGAGATGACTGCTGATTATAAGAGAAGCATTCACGTAACACATGTAATTGACCAATCAAGCATCATAAAACATTTTTCTGTTTCCAGCATGCTATAAAAACCTGTAAAGAAATTTGTAGTGGCAGGTGAATTTTTCAGCTTTTAGTGCTGAATTTGTGATTTCTCTCATCTGATTATTATAATATGAATTTTACTTTTACTACTGATTTATGTTTTAAAGATTATTAGGAAATAATACTGACTGCATAGAAGGAAAATACTGGGTGTCCTAAAATATACTAATGGTTTTCAAAAATTTATAACAGGAAAACAATTCTTGTAAAAAATAAAATAATTCTTGTAGCAAGTTTATGTGACGGCATAAATTTTTCCTCCCTAGTTTTAGTTCAATAATTTTATTGCAGATATTAAGATTTTAAAGCCCACCAGCGGCCGAGCGGTAAAGTCGCTGAACACTGGTAGTTCAGTCCGAGGTTCGAATCCCGCGAACGGCTGGCTGCATGGGTGTTTTCGTGGTTTTCCCCATGTGTAACGTGTATACGAGCCAGTTTCCCTTAAAAAGTCCTCCACGAAGGCATCCTTCCCCTTAGGCAGATAGCCCTTTTCCATAATTAAATACACCACACCATTAAGCCTGTAAATCAAAGAAAAGTAACTCCAAATCACATCACAAATTTGAGAAATTTTTTATTGAATTAAAATTACGTTGAAGTATTTTAGAAATATCCAGCATCAGCTGCACTCACATGTTGAAATTGGAGGATGAAATTAGCAGAATTTTCTATAATGTGGCCAATGGAATGGCTGCATATTTGTAACTGATTATTTCTGTACAATTCTTAAGTGTTCGGACCTTTTTCCGGTACACTGTATCCTTCAAGTGACTCCAAAGGAAGAAATTGAGCGGTCTGTCTGGTGAATACAGTGTTACGTCTACTCTCTTCCCTGTGAAGTATGGGTAATTTAAAGCAATTACACAGGGATGAAAATACTTCTCTAAGAAACTAAAAACTGCAGCAGTATGGTGAGGCCATTTACCATCTTGTATGAAGCTGGATATCACAAATGATTCTACCAAAGCATTTTTGATGGCCACAAAATCGTGCAAAATTTGAACATATCGTTCTGAAATCACTGACATAGAAAAAAAGGTCCAGTTATACCTCTGCTGGAAACAGCTGTGCATACAGTCATTTCTTGAGAAAAGAGTATTTGTGGAACACACGCATGAGGGTTCTCAGCTCTCCATATTCACCAATTTTGTTTATTGACAAATCCCTTGACATAAAAATGTACTTCATCTGAAAACCATACAGAATTTACATTAATATTGCCAACATTTATCATTTCGTTTGCAAACAAGTTCCTATTTTCTACGGTAAGGTCTAAAGCAGTTACTGTTTACATTTTATGGAAACAAGACCGTACACTTATGCATTATCTTATGTGCTGTCGGTTTGCTCAATTGACATGCAGCAGCAGTTTTTTGAACTGGTTTCCTAGGGGAGCATGCAGTTGTTTCCTCAGTGACGTGTACATTTGCTTCTGGAATAGCCGACTGGTATTGTCCAAGAGTTCCGACTTTCTCATTCACACTACCTGTTTGTTCGAATTTCTCATGTAATATTTTTATTATATTCAGCTGCAGACCGTTAGTGACTTGGAATATGCCCTGAAAACTTCTTGCTGTAATACTCTCCAATTGGTGGAATATCGATACAAGGAAAATCCTTTCCTTCAATGAATACATCATTTTCAACACTTCCTACAGAATCTACTGTTCAGCTGTCTACTGCTTCTGCATTCATGGATGACACTTCTTTTAAGTCAAAACATCAACCCTTCAGCAGATGCATATTTTGATGATTTGCATATATCAAAACTGGAAAGAGTGGTAGAAGGAACCTGCCTTACCATCTGTTGGAAAATTTTTTTAACTAAAACCAGGGACTCTGGGAGGAAAAATTTACACCCTGACACATGACTTTGCTGAAAGAATTTTTTTTTTTTTAACTTTAACCATTTTCCTGCTACAAATTTTTAAAAACTGTCCCATCAGTCTATTTGTGGACACCCATTAGTTTATAAAATTATTATACTAATATTCATACTGTTTTGAAAACAGTTTACAGTATAAGTATGTTTATAATGATGTATTATTTTTTCAAAGTGGCGCATATATGTATAATTTATGTTTTAAGAATCAATCATCTGGTCTTATTTTGGTTTGTTTACTCTTTCCAGTGTGTGAATTTTGTACATTCCTCTTCTAATTTGTAGAATGTAAGGATGTATCTATGTGTGAATCATCTGCTGTCTTTCAAATTGCTTCAGAATTTTGTACAATATGTGAAATTTCCTATACCTTATTGTTTGGCATTAGTTCTAGTTTTTAACAGCAAGTTGAAGACGAACATTTTAGATCTTTTGTCTTTTAAAACAAGAAACAGTCTATAAACAGAAGTATGTTTTTCAATGTAGTTTTTGCTCACACATTTTTCTAAAATAATACAGAAATTTGTCCCCCCCCTTTTTTTTTTTTTAATTTTGAAATGAAAAACCAAAAGTAGAGTTTTTCAAAATTAAAATGCTAATATTGCAGTAGAGATATTCACAACCGAGTATTTGTTGTTTTATCCTAAATTAGAAAGTTCAATAATAAATTATTTTTCTTTTAGGAAAAATAATTTTTATAGTGTTGATTTTATTTACTCACTGTAAATTACTGCGAGTTCCCATCAGTTTGGTATTGAATAATCGATGCTCAACAAAGTACCTTTTGTTGCTCACATGCAGAAGAATCAGTTTTTTTTATTTGAGAGTAATCTAAAAAAGGTTTTTATAGTCTTGAAGTGTAAATTTTTTTGCTTATGCATATTTTCTCCTTGAATTTTAAGCACACTCATCTATTCCTATCAAATAAACAAGACTTATTTTAAATATTTCCTTGTTATTAAATATTAGTTACTGATCTGCTCATTTAAGTGCTTCATTGTGCTTTGAAAAAATGAATTTAGTAGAAAGAAGGTAATTGCCACTTAATTTATTCAAATTAATTATAATTCTGTAAATGAAGAAAGAATTAATATTGTATCTTGTGTGTTATGTCTGATATGTTACTACAGCATTTTAGAAAGAACCAAAGGATGTTAGTCATGTATAAAATAAAGTAAAAATCCTGTAAAATGAAACTTATTTTCATAATTTATGTAAGAGTTACTGGTAGTTTTTAAATAATGTAAAAATTTGTAAATAAACTGTGTATTATAGTATTTAGAAGAATTTACACAAAAAAATGCCATGTAAATACTGAAATGCATTGTACAACCCTCTCAGGGCTTCAAATACTTCCAAGTGTACCAGCTGTTGAGAAAAGAAATTGTATTTTAGCAGTAATTGTGTAAGTGGACTATGCTTTTTATATGACAAAAGTTAAATAAAATATTTGCAATAATGTTAATCTCTTATTTATCATGTAGATTAAATATTATTTATTGAAACATTCTTTCTCTAAAAATCTGTATTTCTGTTCAGGAGTTTAGAAAAGATTGAATTTTTATAAGTCGATGTTAAATTGCTCTTCCTAAAATTCTGTTAGTTCTTTTCTACCCAAAATAGATATTATAGTTCAGGGGTTCAATTGTTTTACATTTAGAAGCTTGCTTGACAGAGCTGTGATAGTATTTCGACACACGACAGTTTCATACAAATCGAAAAACGGGACACTTCCGCATAAAAGAAACATTCTTAGTATGATGGATAATAGCAATTTGTATAGTTTAGCGACATTTACGCAAAAATGACATCTTGGTTATTTTTCGATAACTAACAGTAGCGATTTTGATTATGAATATGTTTCATAAAATTCTCAGCTGCTGAACTATAAAAATATAGATTTTAGCAAAAAAGTTATGCTTAAAGAATGAAAAATACCCCACCGTTCCTTTAAAATCGTATACATTTTTCGATACCCTTTAATACAGTATTCGCTACTTTTTATGTTTCAGATGCCAAAATGTTTTAAATAAAATAATTTTTTATTCCACATATTATTGTAACATGTACTTTTTTTTAAAATTAGTGTAAATTACTTTACTCGAAAAATATAGTGAATGCACAGAAATTAAAGATTTCCACATGCCGGAAATGAAAAATATGAAATATGTATGGGTATTTATGCATGTGCTTCCAAAAAGCATGTATTAACAAAATACGTGAATATTTATTAAATTATTTATAAATGTATTTGAAATGAAGGATTTATTCATTCATAAATAACTCTGAAAGTTACTGTGAAGAACTCTAATTATTAAATGTATCTAAATTTATAATGATTTAAAATATTATCTAAATATATAATAACCTTAACATTGAATTGTAAACATAAATTGACGTCCTGTTGACAAATACGTTATAAAACTATTTAAGCAAGAATTGTTCGTACTGGAAAACAATCTGTTAAAAAGGTATTGTAAAGCAATTTCTATGAGATGCGTATTTAAGAAAGTAATAAGAAGAGTTTTGGGAAGATGTATTGTTGAAATTAAGGGTAAAAAAATAAGTATAATTAAAAGAATTATTCCCCTTACATTTTTATATAAAGTCAGTTACACAAGTTTTAAATAATATTTAAAAAATAATCTTTACTTTATTTCCCTTTCAGAAATATTCAGAGAAAGTTGTTAAGTACTATTTAAAGTATTTCGCTATTAAAATTAAAAGGTGCTCTAATTTGAAATGGACCGAATAGAGCATTAATTATAAACTGAGTTATATTTTTTCGATTTAAGAGATGCCTTAGAAGCTAAAAAATCATGTCATATTTGAGAAAGTATTTTATTTTAGGAAGAAGCTGTATAATAGAAAAGAAAAATAATGCATATAATTTTAATAATACATATAAAACTTCTCTTAATTTTTGTAATCCTTAACCGAATCAAATCGAATTACCTTAAATTTTTTTTCTAATGTAGAAAACTTGTGAAAATATTTCAAATTAAACCATTCTGAGCAAACTGTTCTGCGAAAAGTATAGCATTTAATTCCATTCAGAATGAAATGTTGTTTAAAAGTGTATACTTTTCATATACTTTTAGGACTGAAGCATTGTAGAAAAAGAAAATATATACATTTATATGCATATTTATGACGTAATTACAAAATATTTACATCCGATCGTGTCAAAACCCATTGAACTCAATGGTAAATTGCCCAATGTTTTGGTCACCTAAGAAGGGATCGCCAGTGCTTCAAAGCAGGGTATGGGCAAACCGGTTTAGGGCCACTCATCTAACTTCCTACCTCCATGGTGGGAATACGAGGAATGAGCAGAGATCTTTGGAAGCCTGCAACTGAAAGAGATGCTAGATTTGATGACAGGAGGCGGTTTGGTAATCAACAAAATTTTCTCTTTGCTAATGGCCATTGCCATGATAAGTTTAAGAAAATTAAAGTTGTGAATGATAAGTAGAAACTTTTAAAAGTAGGTAGGAGGTGCTGTGGATCAGAGAA